GCCTTTAGATATTTTCTGAACTTTTTCCATTATCTTGGAGAATAACAACATACGATTGGTATTTGGTAAAATGTACTAAAGTACACTGTTATCTGTTATCTATCTTACATACAATTATTAAATACCTAGCTTCTGGATCAACATCTTGATAAATTATATCTACTTTTATTTCACTTGTAAAGATAATAGTTACACCTCTTTTTTTTTTTTTTCAGGGATGCTTGTAATATTATTGGAAACCTATTTCCTCCCCATTTCTGGGGTTTAATTAGCTGCCAATGTGTTTGAAATCTATTTGAAACCTATACACTCTCAGGCACCTGGGAAGCTCGTGTTTGCAAGGGGTTGCTGTTCCACAGCAACTGAGCTCCTCTCCAAACAAACCCACTGGTGGGTTATCACACTGGATAAATGCAATTAGCAACATACAATCAAAGCCATACTTAACTTAGATGTTTAAATGCTCCAGTGATATCTAATAGTTAGCCCTGCTATCTATCCAGGCAGGCTCAATGATTACAGCACCTATGTAAACTCGTTCTTTAACAGACTTTCCATTTGATGATGCCTCAAGATAATGTTTTAGACATTAGGAGTTAATAGGGAGTACGATCTGAAGTTTGTAAATTAGACAAAACACTGGAACACTTTTATGACATCAAGTTTTGATTTCTGTACATTTTTTTTTTTTTTTTGTTATAACAAATGAGCTTGCTCCTTTTAGTCCATTCCTTCCTTTGGTAAATATTTAATTTATTATTATTCATTTGCTTGGGTTAAGCCCTGATGCCCAGATGAAGACACTCTTCTTTTTGTGAGTTACACCTTATGGGAGTTGGGTTTTAATTGCTTTACAATAGTGCACTATTACTTATTTAATGTTATATTTCAGGAAATAAAAGTTTTTTTTTGACTAAGCAGGTATAGAGCATAAAATATTCTGTGCACATTTCATTTTTGTATCATGTGACCATGGTTGCTGAATTGGCGTGGCTATGTCAATATGAGAGTTGGATCGCTGAATTGATGCTGCTGTATCAAAATTAGAGTTGGGTTGCTGAACTCATGCAGCTACGTCAAAATTGGAACGATTACTAGTACCATGTCAAAACCAACAAAGATGGCTCAGAACAGGTGCAGCTCCTTACATATGGGCCTCAATTTATAATTCTTTATTTTTTCTGTGCATGGATGTGCAAATCAAGCCCGCAAAGTCACAATAGCAGAGACAGGTCTCAGAGATCACGAGAAACAATAATGGCATAGAATAGTACTGCACATTTTTTAATGCATAGAAAATATTTAGGCTAAGCATGCATAGCTATTCGATTAACTAAGGTTAAACTTATGAACAAAAGAATTGCTAGACATGAAGTTATTAGTTCATTCCAATGGCCACAAGAGGGGGACAGAGGGTTTACTTTATGAAATACGGCACCGAGATTCTAATGTTTGTAAAGGATTCAATTAATACAAATTGTTCTAAAGCTGCTCACATACCCTACTTATTAATCTAATTATGTACAATGATAAAACCCACAACTAACATGATTCAATGAATTTGACTAGCTCTGTTTGTAAAACAATACACGTTTCAGTTTAATATGTATAAAGCTTAATATGATTTATGAATAGATTATATACATAATGTGATTTGTTAACAGAAGGCGCATATTACAGTCTCAGTTATATACACAGTCGATAGAAACTATATATATTTACCGTGTAGAGGGGAAATGATTGTTCAGTCAGTTATACACTGTCTGCCCACATGCAATATATGGCGCTGTGATGGCCGAGTGGTTAAGGCGTTGGACTTGAAATCCAATGGGGTCTCCCCGCGCAGGTTCGAACCCTGCTCGCAGCGAATATATTTTTGCTTATTATGTTTTATTTATATGCTACTACTAATATTGAAGTCTATATAGTACATGGAATGGAATAATATTTTGTTGCATTTTATAAGCAGATGTTAGCTACACATCTGTACATGTGTTAAACACAAAAATAAATATGTTTATGTATTTATTATATACCTAGACATTAATCAGTGTTATTAACTGAGTGTGAGATGCTTCAAATTCTAAGGGAACTGTATATTTTGGGCTACTATGATCAAACTGGAAGAAGTCTCCAACTCACCTATGTTCTGCTTTTTTTGGTCTGAAATTTTAAATCCACTTTGATTTATACACATTTATCACATCGGTGAATAATAACCCTGCTTATCGCGGAATGATAGCCCCACATGCATTGTACACACAGGTACTATCTAAGGGCAATTTAAAGCTGGGGAATTTATTTAAGATCTGCTGAATAAATATAAATTTTATTAAGACACGGAGGCTCCTATTATGCTGCACTCTTTCTTTATTTCCCTCAGCAGCAAAGAAAAAACTTTATAAACATAACCAATAATAACATTAACAGTCTCAGGTGTAATCTTCCTAGTAACAGGAACAGCCAATCAGGATCCACTTCTCCAGCATAATAGGCTCTGTCAACCAATCCTGTTCCTCTTTCTTTGCTGCTCCCTCAGTTAAGTATATCTGATCCCTCAGGCTCCTTAACTGTGGGATTAATTTTATATTGTATTACTTTATTACTTTATTATATATTGCTTATATCTTACTTTATATATTACTTTATTGTATTATATTGTATTATTGTGTTGTGATATACATTTTATTGCCTTTCCTTATTGTGCTATTAGTGTTATATTCCGTTATTTTGATAGGACATCCTTCTTTGATGCCTTCTTTACTATGATAGTTTGCTGAATTTCTGACCCTGCGCCCCCTTTAAGATTACCCCGCTCCAGCCGATCGCCCCTCAGATCCTAATTTGCAGGGGCTCGGGGACGTCGGCTGGAGCCGCACCCGGCGCTTCGCGCCCTCCTTCCCCCCCTCCCCCTCTGCCGTGACCGGCCGCCAACTGAAGAGCTGCCAGCTCCCTGCTCGCGGCGTGCTTGTGCGCGCTGAGCGTTACACATTTCTCCGCGAGCAGGGCTTACCAAGTTTCTGCTCCCCTGTACCGCTCGCGGCGGCCATTTTTCTGGTTTTCCCGCGCACGGCACGTAGCTCCACCCCCAACTACCGGTCCTCGGAGTTGGGTTGCAGCTACAGTGGCGGTCGGACGGCTCCTTGCCCCCTCCTCACTTGTCTCATTTGCTTGTGATTGTTTTGTGAGTACTTCGATTTTTTCTATTAAAGGTGCATTCCCCCTTTTCTCTTTGGGTTACTCAACCCATTTAGGTCAGCTCAGTTCATTTATTTAAGGGCCAGTGTTATACATAATATGCCTGGGGACAAAGATGTACCCTCCCCTGGGTCTCTTATCAATAATTTGGGGTCTGTTAAAACACCCACAGGGGTACCTGAGATTGGGGCAACTATCCCCGCTGATTTTGACCCTACTGCTGATATGCAGTTTATGATTGACAACACCATGTCCCATGTGGTGACTAAGGCCCTCACATCAGCAATGGGACTGATGTCTGAATATCTATCACAGACTATTACTCACGCTATACTTGGGGCACAAAAGTCGACCCAACCGGTCACTACCCAGGCTTTGCCTGCAATACCCCCTTCACAACCTCACACTGGCCGCAAGGCCACTGCAAAAACTAAACACTCTTCAATCTCACAGATGGACAGCTACACACCTGTCACAGATGGCACGCCTAATATACCACCGCGCAAAAGAGCCACTAGCCGGGCAAAATCGGCTAGGTTATGGAAGCGGGCAAAAGCCCAACTAGAATCTGAGTCAGATCTCAGCGAGATTGAAGAGGAGACTGATATGGATTTGGAGGATCCATCAGATCCCCAATCAGAGGGTGTGGTCGACGACCATGACCCGAGTGCACATATTACGCCTCCATCTGAGTCGTATGACATGGAGCTTAAAGTCCCAGACGATGCCACCAGATTAGTTGACCCCTACGGGGAACCTCTGTTCGACCCCGATGACCTGCGTCATCCAAGGTCAGCGGACTGGTCACCTTCGGCCCATGTGGCCAAATACGTGGCATCGCGGACTCGCAAACCTTTAAATAAGGTAACACGTAGCAAACTGCAGGCAGAATGCCCACGTCCCACTGTCCCTGACGAGGCCTGCAGAATACCTGCAGTTGACCCAAAAATCATTCAATTCTTGGGCAAGACTGGCTGGAAGCCTAATAAGGGCCTTGATTTCTCCCTGCGCAATTGCCAGGACAAGATATTAGACATATTGGGCCCGGCAACAAAAAATTTTGATATGGTCGAAAGTGACCAAGAGTTAGATCGTTCCGCCATAAGTGGTTGGATACAGAGGGTGATTTGTCTGATTGGCAATGCCAACTGTGCAGTGGCCACAGAGCGTCGCAAAGCGATCTTATTAAAGATAGAACCAAAACTGGTGAACATGGCTATAACCGAACCGGGCGCCCAGGCCCGTGGCCTCCTGTTCGGAGACAACTTTGTCAAGGAGCTTGGCTCCTTTGTCCATACTTTCACTGCCCTAGACAAGGCGCAATCGAACATGCGCAAGATTTTCCAACCTAAGATTTTTGGTGGGGCCGGAAGAGCCAGGAGCCGTCTGTCCGGCCGTGTCAATAGGGGTTCGTTCTGACAGAGCCAAGGCTCCTACACTGGACATGCCTCCTTCACGGAGCACCGCAACACCCCGGTTTTCTTCCCACAACGTGGGCGACCATGGGTGGCTCGTGGACCACGTGGCTCCCGCCCAGGCAGACGACCTTATGGTAAGTGCTCTCCTGTTTCCTTCTTCCCTATGGGCAGTGGGGGGCAGACTCCGACATTTTTCCCATGCATGGTCACACATCTCATCAGATGCCTGGGTACTGAACACGGTAAGAGGGTACACCTTAGACTTCATATCCCTCCCGATACAACTCTCCCTGCCACGGGGAATGATGTTTTCCCACCAAGACGCCTCCCTTGTAACCAAGGAGGTTTCGGAATTGGCGCACAAACAGGCCATCTTAGAGATCCCTATGACTACCCCAGGGTACGTAAGCAACCTATTCTTAGTTGCCAAAAAAGGCGGCGGCCGCCGCCCAGTTATCAACTTGAAACAACTCAACACTTTTGTGGCCTACAACCATTTCAAAATGGAGGGCATACACTGCCTCCGAGATCTCCTCCAGCCGTTGGACTGGATGGTCAAGTTGGACCTGCAGGACGCCTATCTCACGATACCAATCGCACGTCAGCACCAGGACTTCCTCCAATTCATATGGCAAGGAAGGAAATGGAGATTCACCTGTCTCCCATTCGGTCTGTCCTCAGCCCCATGGTGTTTCACCAAACTTATGAAGCCCGTGGTGGCTCTACTTCGAAGTCGAGGGGTTCGTCTCATAATCTACTTGGACGACATCCTTATCATGGGTCGTTCCAACCACATTCTCGAGACCCACCTGTCATGGACTCAGACTCTTTTGCAAAATTTGGGTTTCCTTATCAATTGGAAAAAATCCATCCTGACCCCTACACGACACATAGAGTTTTTGGGCCTCGTAGTGGACTCTACTATACAGACCCTACACTTGATCTCCCTAAGACAATTGGCGAGAGTGATCGGCCTCTTGGCGGCTTCCATACAGGCCATTTTCCCGGGCCCTTTACACTATCGAGCGCTACAGCGCCTGCAAGCCTCCCACTTGAGAGACGGGACCTCATACACGGACATGATCGTTCTGGATGCAGAAGCAAAGACAGAACTCAGATGGTGGCTATCCCATATGGACGCCTGGAATAGCCAAGCCATTTTCGGTACCGAACCGGATATAATAATAGAATCCGATGCGAGCTTGCACGGCTGGGGCGCACGCTGTGGCAATGTCTCTACCGGTGGCAGATGGTCCGAAGTGGAATCGACGCTTCACATCAATTGCCTAGAGCTCCTGGCCGGTTCGTTTGCAATCCGCAGTTTTTCGCCGACTCAAGCCCGATGTGCCATCCTTTTAAGGATGGACAATGTATCGGCAGTCCGTTATATAAATCACTTGGGCGGCACGAAATCAAAGGTCCTGGCGAATTTGGCACGAGACTTTTGCCAGCTTTGCCTGGCACACGGCATTTCGGTCACAGCGGAATACATTCCGGGCCTCAGCAATACCACGGCGGATTGGTACTCAAGGCACCTCAGGGATTCCAGCGACTGGCACCTGGAACCCAGGGTCTTCCAAGACATCCAGTCCCTATGGGGTCCTCTGGACAAGGACTTGTTCGCTTCCCGGTTGAACACCCAACTTCCCAGATTTTTCAGCTGGAAACCGGACCCGGCAGCACTGGCAACAGATGCCTTTACCCAAGAATGGTCCTCCAAAAGGAACTATGCGTTTCCTCCCTTTGCATTGATTCCCCGCTGCCTACTACAACTACGGCGACAGACGGGAACGGCAGTGCTTGTGGCTCCATTATGGCCGTCACAACCATGGTTTCCTTCCCTGTTGGAGATGGCGATAGACATACCCCGGATTCTCCCACACTTCGACTCCCTACTTCGAGACCCGGATGGGTCCCCCCACCCCCTGATTCAACAAGACTTATTACACCTCACGGCGTGGCTGATTTCCGGGAGCCCTACTCAATCGCAGGAATTTCGGAATCGACTCTCCAACTTCTCGAGAGCGCATGGGCACCCGGCACGAGACAAGCTTATAAATCTGCTTGGCGCAAATGGCACAATTGGTGCATGGAACGGAATTTGGATCCCATATTGGCCCCTTTGACTTCGATCCTGCAATTCTTAACCTCCTTATTTGAAAGCGGCAAAGCTTATCGCACGGTGAACCTTTACAGATCGGCCATTTCGACCACACACCAAGGCATCGAGGGCGCACCGATAGGACGCCATCCACTGATATGCCGACTCTTACGCGGCATTAGATTCACAAGACCTCCGCTACCACGCTATTCCGTACTGTGGGACGTCTCCATCATCCTCCACTTCCTCGAATCTTGGCCAGATAACGCAACACTATCTCTGAAACAACTGTCGGCGAAACTGGTCATGCTCCTTTGTCTCATATCCTGCAAATGGGTCTCAGACGTTAGAGCCTTAGACATCACCGCACGTTCCTACACTCCGGAAGGGATCACTTTCGATATATCTCGGAGAACGAAAACCTCTACGAAGAAGGTGACATATCCAGCCTTTCCTGACAAACCTCTCTTGTGTCCGGTTAAATGTCTGCAAACCTATGAACTTCGCACCAAGGCGCTGCGGGACCCATCTAAGCATGAACTCTTCATCTCCTTCCAGAGACCACACCTACCTGTGTCTACCACGACCCTGGCTCGCTGGGTCAAATGGATCATGGCTACGGCAGGCATAGACACTTCCATATTTTCACCACATTCCATACGAGGAGCAATGGCTTCCAAAGCCTCTTCGATGGGTTGTCGCCTGGAAGACATTCTGAAAGCAGCCGACTGGTCTTCAGAATCTACCTTCCGTGACTTTTACTTCAAACCAATACACCACTTTGCAGGAATGGTAGTTTCTCAGCTTTAAACCAGCATAATAGGAGCCTCTGTGTCTTAATAAAATTCACAGATTTTACTATTACCATGACGTAAAGTCATGATTTTATTAATGACACGGAGGCGAGTATTATCCCTCCCTCCCACCCAGCGACGGGGGAAGGATAGACGGAAGTTGGGTAAGTTGACCTACGGTAAGTCATTTTTCCATGTCTAGTTGTTACAGTTGTAATCGCCAGATGGTTACATTACAGTTATACTTAGATCAAGGTAAGTCTTAGCTACGATCACTGCTTGCCTATCTGGTCACCAACATTTATAGGTTACACAACAATATTCACTTGGACACAACACTGACCAAACACTATCTTGAATACCTATAACTATGCATACACTAAGTTTTATGCTAAGATATTACCATATCTTTCCTCTCTTACAGCATAATCTACCCATTTTTACTGGGAAAACCATGTTCTCTGCAGTTCAACGTTTTATTGGATAATTTTACTTCTTCGGGATTGCAAATAAAGAGGAACAGGATTGGTTGACAGAGCCTATTATGCTGGAGAAGTGGATCCTGATTGGCTGTTCCTGTTACTAGGAAGATTACACCTGAGACTGTTAATGTTATTATTGGTTATGTTTATAAAGTTTTTTCTTTGCTGCTGAGGGAAATAAAGAAAGAGAGCAGCATAATACTCGCCTCCGTGTCATTAATAAAATCATGACTTTACGTCATGGTAATAGTAAAATCTGTGAATTGTGAGTCCATTCTCAACCACCATCACCACCACACATATCTGTCTAGTAAACAGGCCCCTAAAATAATCAACAACACTGAAGGTGTAGGAAAGTTGACATCCAATATGTATTGGAGTTGCTGTGATTTATTAATCGATTTCCAATTGGGATACATGACTTTTCACACACTGCCGACCGGGCAACATTTTCAAGTCCTGCTCTGCAAAATATAGACTTCAGGACTCCTATATAGCTGAACTAACACAGGACTCAAACTTCCAAGTCCTATGCTACTAAACAGATCTCAAAGTTACTTTCCAATACAAGCCTGCAGAGTCCTTGGCACACTCATCAGAGATGATTTTCTCGTGCAATGGTTAGCTGACTTGTAGAATGTATTGTCTACTGTGGGTGAAATTTGAAATTCACTTTAAATACACTACAGTTCAGTGTTTAAAGGAATACTCAAATCACAACACCCAGTACGGCGTGCTATACTGACCATGGTGCAAGGAGTGTAAATAGTTAAACTTGTAGAGAGTCAAAAATGGGTCGCAAGAGAATACTGAGAACGGGCAGCAGCTGAAATAGCCTGCCCTTCGGTTGGTCCCCGCTCAGTTCTCAAGCTGATTTTTGCTCATCTTGTGCCATTACAGAGAGAACATATCTGAAGCATATCAGACTGGCCCCACCCATACGGGCAGTCCAGATCCGAAATGCCAGCAAGTTCTCTCTGCACGAGAGATACAGCAACCACAGACGATAGTTTCAGCCTTGTTAGGCATCATCAGTGAGGCATAGCTGATATCTCCCTAGGCACCGTGAGCAAGGGGTCCATGTCTGGATTATCCCTTTAAACTTGTAGAGAGTCAAAAATGGGTCGCAAGAGAATACTGAGAACGGGCAGCAGCTGAAATAGCCTGCCCTTCGGTTGGTCCCCACTCAGTTCTCAAGCTGATTTTTGCTCATCTTGTGCCATTACAGAGAGAACATATCTGAAGCATATCAGACTGGTCCCACCCATACGGGCAGTCCAGATCCGAAATGCCAGCAAGTTCTCTCTGCACGAGAGATACAGCAACCCCAGACGATCATTTCAGCCTTGTTAGGCCCGTTCTCAGTATTCTCTTGCGACCCATTTTTGACTCTCCACAAGTTTAAAGGGATAATCCAGACGTGGACCCCTTGCTCACGGTGCCTAGGGAGATATCAGCTATGCCTCACTGAAGATGCCTAACAAGGCTGAAACGATCGTCTGGGGTTGCTGTATCTCTCGTGCAGAGAGAACTTGCTGGCATTTCGGATCTGGACTGCCCGTATGGGTGGGACCAGTCTGATATGCTTCAGATATGTTCTCTCTGTAATGGCACAAGATGAGCAAAAATCAGCTTTGAGAACTGAGCGGGGACCGACCGAAGGGCAGGTTATTTCAGCTGCTGCCCGTTCTCAGTATTCTCTTGCGACCCATTTTTGACTCTCTAAATAGTTAAACTGTTTTAAAACCATCTGACTTCTTATCTGGGGTCTGCTTGGCACCACTACATGAATTCTCTACTTTAGACAGAGAGTAGGAATCTCTCTTGCTGAGTTAAAGGAAACTCCTAAAGATATAAACCATTTTATCCTTGTTTGATTAGTTACAAGAATGGGTGGGGGAGCACTCCTGGCACCATAACCGCTTCAGCCCACTGTACTGGTATTATGGTATTGAAGAGCTTGCTTAATGAATAAGCGTCTTTTGAGAGAGACACTATTTGTTTTATTCAGCCTCTTGTAGTAAGGATTACAATTTTCTTGTAGTAAAATTAGAAGCCATACATGAGAACTGTAGGAATTTCCTCCAAGATGGGCTACACAGACATTGTCTTTTTATTTTTTGAATTTTATAACATTGCTGGGTGTGGCAATTGTAAAACCATATTACTTAGCTTTCTTTTTAATATAGAAAAGCCAAGCTTAGAGAGCCCCTGCTTTTGGAATGCTGGGAGTGAGTGTTGCAGTACATTAAGTAGATGTATCATATAATCCATCTTTACTGTGCTGATGCAACATTCACTTATAGAGCAGGGAGCAGACGAGCTGTGAACCAAGCAGCACATACAATGTAATTTTATTGTGTTGCTGTACAATTTGGATAAGTTAGAGCCAACCAAGTTTGAAGGTATGTAGGACCAGCGAGCAGGGCCGCCACCAGAAATTTTGGCCGCCTCCAAAACTGCCCACAGAGACCGCCTCCAAATCCCGCCCACAGGAGTACACACACAGACACAAACACATTCACTGATACAAAAGAACACAGATACACACACACACTGATACATACTAACAGACACACATACTGATACGCATATAGGCATACATACTGACACACACATACTGAGACATACACACATAGTGACAGACACATACTAAAATACATACAGACACACATGCATAAGGACATACAGACAGACATTCATACTGGCATACAGACAGATATACATACATTCATACTGGCATACATACAGACAGACATATATACATACATATAGACATACATTCATACAGACAGACATACATATACACATTCATAATGACATGCAGACATGCATTCACTGACATTCATACACACATAATGACATGCATACAGACATAGATACATTCATACAGACACTGACATCCATACATACACACATTCATAATGACATACAGACAGACATTCATGCAAACAAACAGACAGACACACATTATTATGACATACAGACATACATTCATACAGACAGACATACATACACACATTCATAATGACATTCATACACACATAATTACATGCATACAGACATACATACATACTGGCATACATATATTCATACAGACATACATACATTGACATTCATACACACACACACACACACACAGCTCATTTTCCAGCCACCCTCCTGTTTCTTAACTTGTCTTTGGTGGGACTGGGAGTCGGCTGGCTCCCCCTCTTCATTGCCGGGCATGCACTCCTCCCGCGCGAAGTGAGCTGGGAGAAGTGATATGGGGCCCATCGGGTGGTGGGAGGAAGATATGGGGCCCATCGGGTGGCCCTAAGTGCATGGGCCACCCAATGTGCCCCATCAGCATGTGGGCGCCGGTGCAAGTGCACTGGCGGCAGTTCCGCCACTACACGTGGGGCCCGGGCGGCCGGGCCACCGGGCCCGTGACAACCGTTATGGTTGTCACCCCCTGATGGCGGCCCTGCCATCGAGTGAACTCACTCTTTTATCCCAAAAGAAGATGAACAGGAACAGGAAATCCAACTTCTTTTCCCAAATGGGATTTTCAAAGAGGATTTTAGTAAGTTTATGTCTGCAAGTGGGTCCAATGAAAAATTCCTCGTCAACAATCCATTAGTCAAGACTGTGCTAAGTGAAAAAAATCATTGTTTAATGGGCAACCTAGATAGATTTTATGCACAATAAGAAGTATGTGTATATAAAATCTGCAGTTACAATTTAACTACCGTATATACTCGAGTATAAGTCGACCCCAATATAAGCAGAGGCCCCTAATTTTGGCACAAAAAACTGGGAAAACGTATTGACTCGAGTATAAGCCTAGGGTGAGAAATGCAGCAGCTACTGGTAAATTTCTAAATAAAATTAGATCCCAATAAAATTACATTAAACGAATATTTACTTACAGTGTGTGTATATAATGAATGCAGTGTGTGTGTGTGTGTAGTGTGTGTATATAATGAATGCAGTGTGTGTGTTTGTGCAGTGTGTATATAATGAATGCAGAGTGTGTGTGTGTAATGTGTGTATATAATGAATGCAGTGTGTGTGTGTAGTGTGTGTGTATATAATGAATGCAGTGTGTGTGTTTGTGTAGTGTGTGTATATAATGAATGCAGAGGACTGTGCAGGGGCGCCGCAGCGTGCTCTTACTTACCTTTGTAGCAGCTCCGGTCAGCTCCCTGCAGCTCCCCAGTTCAGCTCAGAGTGTAAGTCTCGTGGTCTCTCTGATGGCCGCGGGTGTCGCAACACTTACACTGTGAGTTGAATTGGGGAGTTGCACGGAGCTGCTTCAAAGGTAAGAGCTCGCGGCCAGCCCCCAACAGGATCGCCGGGCTTATAATGAGCCCGGCAGACCTGGTCTGTATTATGGCAATGTAAGTTGCCATAATACAGACCTTGACTCGAGTATAAGAAGAGTGGGGGTTTTTCAGCACAAAAAATGTGAAGAAAAACTCTGCTTATACTCAAGTATATACGGTACTTGAAGGAAGGTGTCAAATCTAAAGTCTGACTTCTGAAGTCTCTCTGACATCTCGTGCTAGTCTTTCTACTTAAAATAGCTCTGTCACCTTCTGGAGTGTTTTCCTAATTTGCAAACAGCCCCCATGGTGACTTCAGCATCTGATGTGCAATGACCACAGGGTTCAGGGGAAGGAAAGTTTTACTTTTCTGAAGCTCTTCCTCATGGTCACCACCATCTTCTTCTGTGGAATCCTGTTCAGCTCCTGCTGTTCCATCTGCCAGACGCCCATATACATGCTGTAATATTGCGCATATGCAAGGACAGCACTGACGTCTATTAAAGCCTCCATAGTCAACACCTTATGCCTGGAGAATTGACAAGACACGACAAAGGTAGTGCTGTCTTTTTTCCCCAAGCATAAGAAAAAAAGACATAAGGCAAAGTACTTTGGCTTGTGTATTTTTGAAGAAATAGAAAATAGAATAACAGAATAAGAGGAAGAAAAGAAGAATCAATTAAATTAAGGTAACTATGCTGTGGCAAAGCTGCTTTAAGACAATATGTAAGAGCATAGCATTTAATTTTGAAACAAAGCACATATGTGCAGTTGTATGCATATTTTGCATTGTTTTTACCTGCACCCTTCAATTCTTATGATATATCTGTTTACCAAAATAGTGTTTTTTATACGTATACTAAAAATGTAAAAGAATACTCCTGTATAAAACAAAATACTCAACTCGCTGTTTCTCATAACCACAGAACGACATTTGAGGCAGATTCACTATGTGATGCGCAATAAAAGCGGGGAAACTACTAGCCAAAAAACTCTAATCTAACTATCTCCAGACCAAAATCCACTACATTCACTGCAAAACCCGGGATAAACTGTGCAACCATCACCACATAGTAGAAGAGTTGGCACAATTTTACAAACATCTATATAATTTAAAGGATGACCACGAAACTTATACACCAAACAAACTAGATATAGACAATTTCCTGAATGACATGCATCTTCCATCGCTCACTGCCCAACAAGCTCAATCCTTAGACGCCCCACTCGAGGAAGACGAAATTAGATCTGCAATCCGCACACTTCCAAAGCATAAGGCACCGGGGCCAGATGGCCTGTCTAACTATTATTACATTAAGTTAACTAACATACTAGCGCCACATCTCACAAGACTTTTTAATGACATTAGGTTGTTTCGGCGCTATACCTCCAGAGATGTTAGAGGCACATGTAGTAACCTTACCAAAACCACACAAGCCCCCTTCCCTATGCGCCAATCTACGTCCTATATCGCTGCTCAATGCAGACCTTAAGCTATACGCCAAACTCCTTGCATCCCGAATCAAACCACTACTACTGCAGCTAGTTTCGGCTGAACAAGCAGGGTGTGTCCCGAACCGGAAGGTGGGGGACAATACCCGATTGGCATTGGACCTGATAGAATGGGCGAACAACAGCTCTCAGATGGGCATTCTCTTGGCTTTGGACGCGGAGAAGGCCTTTGACCACCTTAACTGGTCCTATATGGACGCCACGCTCTCCGGGGACTTTGTCCGGAGCATTAAGGTACTCTACTCCAACCCCACAGCAAAAGTCTTTAATACTGGCTTCCTGTCATCTACATTCCAAATCTCCAATGGCACGCGGCAAGGTTGCCCTCTCTCACCCCTTATATTTATTCTTTGCCTAGAACCTCTAATCCGCAGCATTAAATCACTACGGCAATTATAGGCCTGTCGACCCAAGATGAGGAAAATAAAACTAGCGTTATTTGTGAATGACATTTTGATTTTTTTGTGAGAACCGCTTAACTCCCTGCCACCACTAATGCGCCCGCTTTCCCTATATGGTCAAATTTCATATTATAAAAATAATGCGTCAAAAACACAGGCGCTACCCATTAATTTACCCAAACAACTTAAGCAAATCTTACAAACCAAGCACAATTTTGATTGGCGAGTTAAATCGCTGACATATTTGGGTATAAAACTTACGACACAATCAGGGAAAACCACATGGAATAAATGCCATCAAGATGATGGTCGTCCCTCACGTCCTATACCTTTTCAGGACAGTCCCACTACCCCTACCTAGGAATATCACAAGACGTATGCAAAAGCTTATAAACTCTCATGTCTGGAAAAAGAAACGCCCAAGGGTGGCGCAACAAATGTCATGGCTTCCGCTTAATGCAGGAGGCCTGGGAATCCCTTGTGTCCACAACTATCATAGAGCTTCGGTATTGTCACAGGGTGTTGACCTTTTAGCAAAACGGATGAACCCGGTGTGGCTCAAACTAGAGAATGCATGCATTTCACCTGCTACTTTAGCAAGTCTGCTATGGACCAACTCTGACACTACCCCCCACGCAACTTTATGAGGTGTGCCCCAATTCAGGCCAATTAGGAAATTTCACCTGACCTCCCAGTGGGATCTTGGAGCATGGGGTGCATAGCAAAAGTCTCTGATTTGTATGACTTACGAGGAATTAAACAATTCCCGGACTTGCAAAATTAATTCTCATTAGCTCATAGGGAACTATTTACATACATTCGCCTCAAAAGTATCCTTCTCTCCCGACAAATGGAACCCCAGGCACAATTATCCCTGCATAGGGCATGTTTAATCTCCTTGCAAAAGGAGCAACAAATTTAAAATCCCTGTCCCTATGTTACTCAACTCATAGTGAACCTAAGGAAGAACAAAAGCAACCCTATATGCGCAGCTGGGAAAAAGAACTTGGTAAGATGTTCCAACTCACACAATGGCAGGAGGCTATCAGATCAAGGCAGCCTCCAAAAGCATATCCATGTGGGAAGCGCATGCCAAATTACGGATGAGGTGTTATTTGGTGCCCCTCAGACTTTTTACAAATCTATAAGGATGCTAATCCTACCAGTTGGAGATATCAAACCGCCATAGGCTTTCTTAGCCATGTATTTTGGGAATGTTTAGAGTTAAAGCAGTTCTGGAATTCAATAACAGCGTTGACAGATAATTGCCTGACACATTATCCCCACCACCCACCACGGCACGAACTCCGCAAGACATGTACAACCCAAGCAACACAATACGAAACATCCGATGATACACAACTACAGCCATACTTCCTACAAAATCCCATCTTCCTGACTCATCCGCCACAATGGCAACAAGTCAAAGAGGGTACCACTTTAAACATATCAATTACCATTGGACCGCAAGTACCTGAAAACGTAAGCCCCAAAATAGGCACGATAAAAATGACTAGTTGTCTACAGAGACACCCACAACGGAAAACTTGCACACCGTAAGCGCTACTCTGCATAATAACAGAAACAAGACGGCTTTGTATTGTGTACCCCCCTTGTCTTCCTTAACCTGCAACTACAAAATTATAAGCGACAGGTATACGACAAGACACCCTACCCCCCACCCCTCTTTTCTCTGTAACCCACCCCAAACCCGAGACTAACCCATAACAGAAGTCGAAATAGTGACAGTAAATGCTTATTTTGATAACAATACAGGCAGAAACTATTGACAAACAACCAATATGCAAGCTTGACATTTATGATAAACTTTAACAAAACAAAAAAGCACATACATGTATGGCAAAACCTGTACCACAAACTGTAACTCCCTGTTTTCTTTTCTGTACCCCCACCCTATGCTTCACAACCTTTACAAAAATTTCAAAAATAAAGAATTTAAAAACAAAACAAAAGACAAATGTATTAATCACACACGGTGATTGAGCGATGGGTAACAATTAAAGGAAGCACTCCAAACATAGTCACTAGTACAGTGCGCTCTCCAGAGCGGATGTGACCAGCGCACCCAAGGTAAAAAAAAATCAAACTGTTAACACTTTATGCATTACAGAGTGTACAAGTGTCCAGCAAGATGTATAACCATCTAGTATAAAAAGAAAAACAATAGTTCAGATGCCAACAGGTTTACTTATAAAACCAAAAACAAACGTTTAGACAGTTTTTAGTTGCATTTTTTTTTTTGCCTAAGACAATGTAGGCTGAGCAGTTCATATGGTTTTGTCTTCCATAAAAAATAAAATAAAAAAAAAAAAACACACCACCACCTAAGCTGTAATTGTTGTTACAGAAAGCAAGATAACAGTTTAGGATTCTCCTGCTCTACACTGTCACTCAACAACTGGCATGAACTGACTGACAGGAGAAGGGGATGAGCAATATCTGTAAATGGTTTGTTCTGAGAATCTTTACCCTTGCGAGCGCTAATACATGGCATGTTTTGGTCTTTGCATTTATCTAAAGTAGTGTGTGTACCATATAAGAATTTGATGACACAATCTGTTAAAAATTAGACAGCTAAATAAATCTAATCTGTCAATTGACTAAAGATATAGATTACATACTGTGAAAAAAAGAAAAAAAAGAAAAGATATTTACAAAAAAGGTCTGGCATATTCATTTCCAGTACATAGTGCAGTCATGTTTCCATACTGTGGCAGGACCTTTTTACACTTCAAAGAAAAAATATAATTACATAGGAAAATAGCTCACTCAGAGAGAAACAAGAAAAGAAAAAAATTCTGTACACTTCTGAGTATTATGCGAATGCAAGGCATAAGTTGCTGATATTTTAAGTCATTTTGTCAATGAGAACACACATTGATGCATCTTTATCAGCTTTTGAAACAGTGGTCGCCTCTTGTGTCCCTTCACTCTGATCCATGCACTCTTCCTCTACCTCCATTGGTTCAGTCTTTACATTAGCTATTCCATCTGGAAGAGGAAGATCATCAGGCAATGTGGCCAAACAGTTCTGGATCACCTCTACAACTCGCTCCAGATGCTTCTGAAACCTTTCTGCAGTCTCCAGCCTCTGACGTTTCTGTACTTCCATCATTACCCTCAGGGTTTCACGGGCCTGGTGTGGACGGTATTCATTAATTAGATGGTGCATATGAACAAATAGTAACTTCATGTCCTCCAGTTTCTCCTCTCGTCTTATACTTCCAGGGCTACGTATCAGAATTTCCAGAAGATCCAGAAAGTTTACCAATATAGACATATTAAGTTTCCTCAACTCTTTCTTGTGGTCAAACTGTAATGGATGGAGACGTTCAATGCTTTGACTTTCCAAAGGTCTGATAATGAGGTCATCACACAGAAATTGGTTGCCAAACATCATGTAGCTTTCCTTAGCAGGCAGTGGTGGCTTGGGGGCCAAACCCTTACGAATGTTCTCATCTGTGTATTCTTTAATATACTGCATGGGAGGTAGAGGTAAAGCGCTCACTTGCTGGGGTTCCCCCATGTTGAAAATAAAAGAAGAACCTGCAAAAAAAATAATTTAAAAAGTGTAAATATTTGGACATATATGTTTATATGGTCAAACAGATACAACATATGGGACCACTTTGATTCAAAGATCTATTAAACACCTAAATGGATACAATGTGGTTTATTCACTAAAATCTGAACCAACCCTGGACTAACAAAATTTGGGATAAACTAGCCACGCTCAGACTTTCAGCTGAGTGGGAAAATTTTTCCAGATCAGCTACAGTGAGGGAAAAAAGTATTTGATCCCCTGCTGATTTTGCACGTTTGCCCACTGACAAAGAAATGATCAGTCTATAATTTTAATGGAAGGTGTATTTTAACGCAAGAGACAGAATAAAAAAAACAAAAAAAATCCAGAAAAACTGATGTCAAAAAAAGTTATGAACTGATTTGCATGTCAATGAGTGAAATAAATATTTGATCCCCTATCATTCAGCAAGATTTCTGGCCCCCAGGTGTCTTTTATACAGGTAACAAGCTAAGATTAGGAGCACTCTCTTAAAGGGAGTGCTCCTAATCTCAGCTCGTTACCTGTATAAAATACATTTGTCCACAAAATCAATCAATCAGATTCCAAACTCTCCACCATGGCCAAGACCAGAGAGCTGTCCAAGGATGTCAGGGACAAGATTGTAGACCTACACAAGGCTGGAATGAGCTACAAGACCATCGCCAAGCAGCTTGGTGAGAATGTGACAACAGTTGGTGCCATTATTCGCAAATGGAAGAAACACAAAATAACTGTCAGTCTCCCTCGGTTTGGTGCTCAATGCAAGATCTCACCTCGTGGAGTTTCAATTATCATGAGAACGGTGAGAAAGCAACCCAGAACTACACGGGAGGATCTTGTTAATTATCTCAAGGCAGCTGGGACCATAGCCACCAAGAAAACAATTGGTAACACACTACGTGAAGGACTGAAATCCTGCAGCACCAGCAAGGTCCCCCTGCTCAAGAAAGCACATGTACCAGCCCGTCTGAAGTTTGCCAATGAACATCTGAATGATTCAGAGGAGAAGTGGTTGAAAGTGTTGTGGTCAGATGAGACCAAAATCGAGCTCTTTGGCATCAACTCAACTCGCCGTGTTTGGAGGAGGAGGAATACTGCCTATGACCCCCAAGAACACCATCCCCACCGTCAAACATGGAGGTGGAAACATTATGCTTTGGGATGTTTTTCTGCTAAGTGGACAGGATAACTCCACCGCATCAAAGGGACGATAGACGGGGTGAGAACCTCCTTCCCTCAGCCAGGGCATTGAAAAAGGGTCATGGATGGGTATTCCAGCATGACAATGACCCAAAATACATAGCCAAGGCAACAAAGGAATGACTCAAGAAGAAGCACATTAAGGTCCTGGAGTGACCTAGCCAGTCTCCAGACCTTAATACCATAGAAAATCTGTGGAGAGAGCTGAAGGTTCGAGTTGCCAAACATCAGCCTCGAAACCTTAATGACTTGGAGAGGATCTGCAAAAAGGAGTGGGACAGAATCCCTCCTGAGATGTGTGCAAACCTGGTGGCCAACTACAAGAAACATCTGGCCTCTGTGATTGCCAACAAGGGTTTTGCCACCAAGTACTAAGTCGAAGGGGTCAAATACTTATTTCACTAATTGACGTGCAAATCAATTTAGAACTTTTTTTGACATACGTTTTTCTTTTTCTTTTTTTTTTTATTCTGCCTCTCACTGTTAAAATAACACCTACCATTAAATCTATAGGCTGATCATTTCTTTAATAGTGGGCAAATGTTCAAAGTCAGCAGAGGATCAAATACTTTTTTCTCTCGCTGTACTTTGACCAACACTTTCCCATTAACAGGGTTATTCCCTATAGTGAGACTTGTAGGGAATTCAAAGTGAACTTTAAATTGAAAGACAAAGTAGCCGAACTATAAGCATAGCTGACTGAGAATTTTTCCAGTTCAGTTATTTTGACCTTAAAGGAACACTTTAGGAATATAATTTTATATTTCTAAAACTAACACAAAAGTTTTCCTCTGAACCCCCCTCTTCTCCAGCCAAATAAAGGGTTAAAAATAATTTTTACTTTCTCCTTATTCCAATGCCAATTTCCCTCTACCTTAAGTTATTCTCCACCTCCTCCTCCAAAATAGCCAAAATGAAAACAAGACTGACTTAACCCCTTAAGGACGGCAGGCGTGCTATGCGGTCCTTGGGGACCAGGCTCTAAACGCCGGCAGGCGGCACAGCACGTCCATCATCACATGGACGGAATAGCCGTCCATAGCAGTGCCAGCAGGGGGATTGCCTGGAATGACAGGTAGTCCCCCTGCTGCCTGAAATAAAGTTAAAATAGACTCGGGAGACTTTGCTGAACACAAATATTAATGTTTCAAAACAGTAAAATGTATTACAATGATGATATCATCAGTGAAAGTAAAGTTTTTTGCATTTTTCACACACAAACAGCACCTACACTGAAGCTATAATTCTTGTTATATACGTTTTACGGTTTTGAAACACTAATATTTGTGTTCAGCGAAGTCTCCTGAGTATAACAGCACCCCTCACATACATGTTTTATGGTGTTTTCAAAAGTTACAGAGTCAAATATAAGTCTTGTGTTTCAGTTTTCTCACATTGAAATTATAAAGTAGACAACCCAAGGTATTGCACATGGGGTATGTTCAGTCTTTTTTAGTAGCAACTTAGTCACAAACACTGGCCAAAATTGGCATTCAAATTAGTTTTTTTGCATTTTTCACACACAAAGAAATATTAACGCTAACTTTGGCCAGTGTTTGTGACTAAGTGGCTTCTAAAAAAGACTGGACATACTCCATTTGCAATACCTTGGGTTGTCTACTATTGCAAATGGTATGCCATCATGGGGGTAACTCTCATTCCTGGGCTACCATACGGTCTCAAAGGCAACATAACCAATGTGGTGAATTTCAATGTGAAAAAACTGAAAAATTTAACATGCTATATTTGACAGTGTAACTTCCCAAAACACCATAAAACCTGTACATAGGGGGTACTGTTTTACACATGAAACAGCGCTGAATACAAATATGTGTATTTTATTGCAGTAAAAGCAAACATTATTATGACATACACAGTTAAAATGTCATGCAGAACAAAAAAAAAAAACACAATTTCTTAATTTATCACTTTTTTATATTTTATTCATGTTACATAATGTTTCATAGCTTAATAAATGTAAAATGAAAGCCCTATTTCTCCTGAATAAAATGATAATTGTGGGTGCACTTAATATGAAAGAGGTGAATTGCGGTTGAACAGACATATAGACATATTCCAAGTTTTACTTACGTTTAATTTCAATCAAAACATGTACATTTGGCTCAGTTCTTAAGGGGTTAAAAAGTGTTTCTAATTCAGCTGTTTTGGCCAGAATTGAGCAGTGAGACTGCAGGGGTATGATCTGTACACCAGAACAACATCTTTAAGCTAAAATTATTTTAATGCCTGTTACATCCCTTTAAATTCCTGTCAATTCTCACTATTCCTGTGTGCAGCTTGGTAATTACTGTGCTTCAGCCTGGAATTCCATCCTTCTACAGTATTTATATATACTTCTAATAAATACCCTCTTAACCTACCAGTAAGAACATCATCTTTGATGTTACAAAATGTAAAACCTCAATAATGCACATGAATGAATCCTAACATGTTTACAACAGCTGTGCCCCTTGTGGACCCACAAACTGTACTGAGACTGCACTGGCCAGGGACATCCTTTAATTAGTTTGCTATTTCTGTAAAACGCTATTAATCTGCATTATAAAGTGTGAGGGGATTCCAGCCCTTATTTTTTAAACGGGTAAAGCGGAATAAAATGACATTATACCTCAGCTACTACAAAACAATTCATGCAAATGAGGGGGGAAAAGGTAGAAAATACCTGGAAACGCCCGGATTCAAGATATCACACTACACAATGAGTTAACCAGCGCTGGTTGATGACGCATTTCCGGTATACGAGCCTTCCATGTGCCCTACTTCCGCCCAAAACCTAGGCGAGCGCTGATTGGTTGATGCAGTGACAGTGAGTAATAGTGAGTATGTGCAATAAGCGTTAAATGAAATGACCACTGGGTGGCGTGTATAGAATGAGTTAAAAGACAGTCTTGTTTTGTTTTGTTTTATGAACCTTGTTATTATCATCATTAGTTCACTGCTCAATCAACAACCCATTTTTCATGTCTGTAAAATGAGCAACAAGCAATAGTTACTATGCTATTATATCACAGGCTTTGAAAGTTCTTCAGAACTGTGCAGTGATAAAGCTGGATATCATTTTCAACTCCCAATCCCTGCTCAGCCCACTTGGTGGTAGCATGTGTCATTCACCCAGACCCAAGGCACACATATTTTACACACAATATGCAATACAGACTGCTGAAACGCAGTGAAAAGTAATACAAATATGCATGAAGAAGGTGGAAGAAAGACATACCACACGAATAATAAAACTGAACGTGTTTCACATCTACCTCGGACTGTTAACAGTTAGTGATACCTGATGATGTGTCCAGTGCGAAACGCGTTTAGTTCTATTGTCTTATGTCTTTCTTTGCCCCTTCTTTATTTATGGTTTATTAATTTTCACTGTGTTTCTGTCATTTTATTGCATGTTTTGTTAATATACGGATACTAAATGAAAAGAAGATTTGTATGTGTCTTCCTCTTATCCTTTTTTCTCCCACGGTGGAGTGCAATATTTGGTTAGACCATTTTCTTTTATACTGATTGGGGTCACCCTTATATGCACCGCCAAAGGAGCTATGCAAACACCTTTTTTCATATTTTGCTTGTCTCTTTTGATATTTACTGCTGCAGTTTAGTTTGTGGGGCATATTTTACATAAACATGGCATTGTTTCTAATCGCACCACTTGAGTGTTTATGTAAAGATTCCTATATCCTTATTATTCAAGACAAAATAAAGCAATCAGCATAATTGAGTTTAAAGGGACACTATAGCAAATACAGAAATAATTCCAATGTTTGGTGCATTTTGTCTAAGTAGAAATTCAGGCAGCATTTTTAAGAGACCAGTTACAATGTTAATGTTCTCTACAAGTCTTGTATTATGGCAATCCCAGGTAAGGATACAAAATTAGGGAGCTCTCTAGTAAACAATTAAAAGGAGCAATTTCAGAAAAAGAGCAATTTTCTTAACTTTGCTTATTCAGTTGCTTAGTACTAGATATAAATCCCTAATTTGGTACCCTTAATTATGATAATCTCACATAAGGATACCAAATTAGGAAGTTATCTGTTAAACAGCTGAAAGGTGAAAATTAAGAAGAAGAAAAAGCCATTCTTTAATTTTGCTATTTCAGTTGCATAATAGAGAAGTCCCTAACTTGCTATCCTTAAGATAGCAGAGCTAGAAGGGCAACGGAGCGGTCACACTCCTCGAAACTCTGGCATAACTCGAGTTGACGAGACCTTTTATGGTGGAAACCGAGGCTCAAAGAACCTCTCACCACGGCCGACATATGAACGATGGGCCGAAGAACAAAATAAGCACGGGCGGACAAAAGCTCCCACGGCAGAGACATAGGAGACATGCTGAGGAACTCACAGCAGGCCGCGTGGGCCAAGATGGCGCTGGCCGACGACCTCTCCTCAGACTTCTCAGTAGAGTCTACAGCGGACCTCTTAGACGGAACATCCATGGGGCTCACACCAGACCGCAGACCAAAACCACAGAAAAACGGGGACCCGATCACTGCGGACCAACTAAAACAAATGCTGGCGGAGCTCCGCAAAGATCTGGCGCTATAAAGAGGCTATCAAGGGGGCCGAAATTTTTTTTTTGAAGCTGGAGGCAACCTCAAGCACTCAACACAATAGACTCACTATGGTGGAACGACAGATAGCAGACCTGACACAGCAGCATATGGCTACATCGGACAAACTTGACGCCATAGAAGATCAAAGAAGGCGCTACAACCTGAAAGTCCGGGGATACCCGAGTCAGTTGACAACGCAAACCTACCCCACTATATCAGGCTCTTCATCGGGCTCTTCATCGGAGTCCTGCTCCCGCCAAAGCAGGCGAGAGCCCTAAAGTTGGATGGGATGTTCCGGCTGCCAAAACCCACTAGAGCACCAGCGGCGGCGACCGCGGACCTCATCCTACGCCTGGCGGCAATGCGATGGAAAACCCCCATTCTGTTTGAGGGCTGTTCCATAACGGCCTTCCCAGACCTCACCAAGAGTACCCTCACCTGGCGGAAGACATTGCAGCCGCTCCTACAACACCTCCGTGACAAAGAAATCCCTTACAAATGGGGAACACCAAGAGCAGTGACGTACACATTTAACGGGACTTCCCACAGAGCACTAGGATACCAGGAGCTAGAAACGAAATTGATAGCTGCGGGTGTAGTGCAGACCACGCAGCCACACGGAGCAGACCTGTCCAGACTGAACCCAGCAACCATCAGGGACTTCACCCCGAGAGGAAACCAAAAGGCCTCATCTGCCAGACCACCCACTTGAGGGAGCAGAGGCTGAATTATCCAAGGGGACTCTTACTTCCACCATAACCACTACCCGAGTATCTCACAGTTAGAGTTTATCTCGATTTAAACACAAATCTTTTTGTCTTTCCTCCTACCTTGCCTTTGCTTGTTGCAAACCTCACCTCACTAGCGCGCACTCAGAGGACACATTACCACTGGCACTTAGTAGCTGGGGTTACGTACATCTCACTATCACTTACACACACTACACCAACCTCCCTCCCCTCCCCGGCCGGAGAACAGGCACTACTACTGCACTCACATAGTCCATGGGCAAGGGGCACGTCCCTCTGTGGTTTAAACCCAAACGAAGACTCAAACTCTCATCACACCCACACAGGGCCCACTGGCTGTTTTATGAATCTGCACCTTTCCTAATGCAACTATATACCATAACATGTGCAATGTAAATGTAAGCCTAACAACTGTCTATAATTGTTGAATATTATGCTGGCAACCACTGTTGGGGCATTGCTCGCCTACTTGTACCACAACTGCACGAAAAATAAAGAATAAAAAAAAAATGCATCTAAAAAATTTCAGATCAATTTTTTCCGAAATCTTTCATTTTTGGTTTGTCTCATTACATATGAATTCTGAAAATCAAACCCTTCCGAATTGCCAGATTTGTCCAAATTCAGACAAAATTCAGAATGAAAGTAATGCACATATACTAAAAACATATATCCATATCTGATAACTGCATTTAAGGATTAAAGTGAGGCCAAATTTAGTATTTGGATACAGGGTGTTTAGGATTATTTAGTTTAGAAATGGGTTAAATTTAGTATTGTGGTACTTGCAGAGGCGTAACTAGAAACCACCGGGCCCCAGTGCGAAAACTGCACTGGGGCCCCCCATGTGTCTCATCCGCTCGCCCCGCCAGCCCCTCCACACGTCTCATCTCCCTCTGCCAGCCGCTCCACACATCTCATTCTCCCCCCCAGTCCCTCAATGTTTTTTACCCCACCTCCAGCCCCCATGTGTCTCTCCCACCACCATCCATTTGTGACAGACACACACACACACTGACAGGCACACACTTACACTGACAGACAGACAGGCATACACACTGTCAGAGAGACACACACTCTAACAATTTATTTTTTTGAGGCCCACCCAGCCTCCCTACCTTTTGGAGAGCTGGGTTGGGTCCTCTTCCTGAGGTCCAATGTGGGGCTGTGCTGTAATCTGGGAGTTCCCCTCTCCTCCCACGTGCTGTTTAGTATGTCAGGGTCAAAATGACATCATATTCAGGCTCCTGGCATCACAGTGGCGCCCAATATGATATTAAATGCCCAGGAATTTGTGTTTCCCAAATTAATAGTTTGGACAGGGCCCCCTTCATCTACTGTCAAACATGTTTTGTTAGAATTGAATATTTGTCTTGTCTCCTATTGTACAGCGCCGCAGAATATTTTGGTGCTACATAGACAATTGTAATTCAAAAACCACTGAACTATACATGGGAAACTTTCTCTTGACGCTCACATAAGTAGAAATGACTGATAAGAAAAATCAACTTCTGTGAAATAAATGCCTATGGCATGGTATGTGGGTTATCCTGTTGGACTGAGAGATTTATGTCTGGACTGAGACATAGTCTCCCATTTAATACTTTCACAAATGCACAAGAAAACAAAGATAGTACAGCTTCTTGCAGCTTCATCTGCCAGGAGCTGAAAAGATGAAGATGGTGTGGCAAAAGCATGAGAGCTTCAAATCAGTATATATCCCTTTCTCCCATCCCTCCAATTCTCTCCCCATGTACCATTGAGCAGTATACATATCCCTTGAAACTGGTCTTTGCAAAAAATAATTATTTTCTTCCAGTGTGGTTCACAGCTTATTTTGTTTTTTCTGAACTAAATGTTTTGATTAGTATGCAACATTCTTATTTTTGTTTTATATATATATATATATATATATATATATATATATATATATTTATATATTTATATATACACACACACACATCTGAATCGGAGCTTACCTGATTTATCTACAAAAACTGGGAAACTGGGGAGGGGGGATCAGCATTAAAGTACCCCATGATTTCTAATTAATTATTTTATTGTAACTAGAAAAAACACTGATCTGTTTAAAGTTTACTATCTGTGTCTATGTCTTGACACACATGAGTATACAGTATATTCATACAGGTATATCTTTAGGTGGAAGTTGACTAGGCTGTAGTTCTCAAGCAGCAATTTTGTGCACTAGCAATTCAGTAAAAAGGAGGATGTGGTTGTAAGTTTGAAGTCATAACACACATAACACCTTTACATGAGTCTCTGATAAAGAGATAAGCTCTCACAATTTACTCCTCCGCTCTCTATAGCAGGATCAGCGCTATTAAGCTCTGCTTTGTTCCATGCACATGTCTTGGATGTCCCTGTTGTGTCCCCCGCTGTACCTCAGCTCGACCAGGATTTTATCTCTTTAGATACCAAGCAGATGTTAACTGAGAAGTAATTCTGTTTTTATGGTATCTCAGAGTCACCCGGTGACTCTGGGAGCAGAGGGTGGGGTGCCGCAGATGAATACCCCCATCATCTTAGAACAGCTCATGATTAAAAAATCTCAACAGAAGAGGAGAACGTCCCCCGCAAACTTCAAGTCCAGAGTCTTTGTCCTTACCCAATACTCACTCAACTACTACGAGCATCGGCAAGGGGTGAGTTATATGACGCCTATTATATTACCAAAGGGCTAAGTTGCACTGTTACTCTGAAAGTTTATATACTGGTTTTGAGTTTGATTGTGTTTTTGTATCTTAGAAAGAGTAAACGTTTTACATGAATGTTAACAGGAATAGATGATCTTTTGATAGCTAATGAGGACCTCAACTCTAATAACACTCAGCCAGACAGGATTGAACCAGGCTTCTTCCTAAGGATCAACCTTATGAGAGGCTTTAGGTACAGCAGAGGCCACAGTAGAATTTGCAGCAGTAGCTTTATGTATTCATTGAGACAAGCTGCATAGTGTATTAAATATTTACGTAAACTGATGGGAAATGTAGCTCATTGCATACCCTGCCTAGGAACATTTGAAGTCCTAAGGCAAAGTTGTAATCTGCAACAGTGGGGATAAAGTTTGATTTAAGACACTAGTGGGTCAGTAATGTTTATTTTAATTGTGGGTTAGCATTGTCTTAAATCTCACCCTCATCTTTAAAATATTACAGTTTAGCACCACAAACTGTCATTTAGAAGCAGTCACTGGTTTCATTTAAGTAAGAGCCCATCCCATCATCTCTAGAATGAGGGCACTATTTCATGATGGTCTATAGAAAATAAAGTCTTCTGGCTGACATCAGAGTTGCCCTTTAAACAGGAAAGTCCCTAACTTGAGATATGTGTCCCGGGATGTTTCCCCAGATATAAATACATTATATTGTGTCATACAAATATATTTATATCATACAAATCGCTTGCTTTCCATATACAATAAATACTTGTTTCTTTGGACCGCATGCTATATTCTCCATTCTCTAAATACATATTTCATATTGATTTACAAAATACATCTAAGTTTAGATTTTTACATTCACAAATCGCGTATTAGTCATCTTCAGATAGGTATATGCTAAATCTAAATGTTATAAATGCTATATGTTTATAAACATAAATACATACAGTATATAAATTAAAAGCTTACCTGAGGATTGACTCTACTTACTCCTAGATGGCTTGTCCCTAAACTGTTATAACCTTAGTGTGCCTCAGTTGAATTTCTCTATTTTGTATTTCCCCGGTTTATAGTCTTCCCCTTTCATATTTCCCCATGTTGATTTCACACTTCGCTCTACTCTGATGTTAACCTCACTCTTACATGTCATTTATATTCCCGCAAATTCCAATTTGTTTGCTCCCCACTGATCTCCCCTATCTCTGCCCTTAAATAAAAAAAAAATATGCCACCTTCCTTAGACCTCCAGCTGATAGTTTACTTTGCTCAGTCTCTCAAATTGATATTCTCTTTTCTGTGCTTCTGTGCCCCCATTTGACATTTCTTCATACAGATCTTTTGGGATATTGTTATATCATAGATTTCGAAGAGCATGTATTTTATTTTTCCCATGACTGTACATATACACATATGCACATATTAGAGCAGAGGCTTTTTCATGCCCTCTCACTTTCAAAAAGCAGAAAAGGTACAAACCCTTGTCCTCTCATGATGTCATTGTCACCTCTACTTTGCTAAAATGGAAAAATATTTTTTTTTAAAAAGAACACACTGATGTTGAAAAATTAACCTAGTCTAGGCAGCACTGAACTGGCCACACTTTGTAAGTGTCCACGTTTTCAAACCAGACAACATGACACATTTTAGGAGACATGGCTTATCAATTTCCTAAATGAAATCTCTTAATTTAGATCGTAGCCTCCAAAGATCCCAGAATGTTCTCTTTACTTTAGGGAATATTGTTGAATATATTACCAATCTTCTTGAACTACCCAATCTTACACCCAAATATACCTTATTATAGTATAAAATAAACATTGCCTGAATGATACTTTACATCTATGAAAGTATATTCACCTCTTCATGTTGTTACAAATAGTTTACGTCCATGGAGTCAATGATCCCTCTTTTGACTTTAAGACTTTTCCATTCTAGAAGGCATTCCTACTGTTTGAGACTGACTGAGCTCTACGATTATAATCCTGAAATCCCTTAGAAACAGCTTTCTATATTATGGAGTAAGATACAATTTTAATTATTATTTTTAGTGTTTATATAGCACCAATAAACATCACACCATCACCAGTGAACAAATCACATGATTTTGTAATTAGAATTACAAAATTATCATTTTAAAGGGATACTATATGCTGAAAAACAATTTTAGCTTAATAAAGCAGTTTTAGCGTACAGATCATGTCCCTGCAGTCTCACTGCGGAACCTCCCCTGGTTGTGAATGACACAGCCTGCATGAAAAAGTGGTTTCATTTAAATCAGATGTTAACTTACTTTGGAGCTTTTATCTCCTGCTCTGTAAATTGAACTTTTATCACACAGAGGAGGGTCCTGTGGGCTCTAGAAGGCTATTAACAGAGCAGGGGATAAGAAATTCAAATGTACACAAACTTTGCAATAAAAGAAGTTTATTACATTAGATGTCACTTTACAGGAAGTGCTTAGGAAGGCTGTGTAAGTCACATGCAGGAAGGTGTGACAAGGGCTGTATAAACAAAGTGATTGAATTCCTAAATGGAAGAAAATTGAGCAGTGAGACTACAGGGGGCATGATCTATACACCAAAACTGCTTAAATAAAGGGGCTCTCTAGTCACCGGAACAACTACAGCTTAATTTTGTTCTGGTGCCTACTATCTGTCCCTGGAGACTTCAAAGCATCTCTATGAGGCATTTTGGGAAAGTTTTGGATTGGCTGAGATAATCAAATTTGATTTCAGTCAAGGGGACAGAGCGTGAGCAGGGCCAGCTGAGATCCCACCCACGCAGCACCGGAAAAAGATGAATAAATCGCCTTTTTAAACAGCAGTAAGGGGGATCAGGCCCGACCCTATAGTGTTCCTTTCAGCTAAAATTGTTTTGATGCCTATAATGTCTCTTTAAGGACAGACATCTATTTGACATATTTTCTTCAGAGCTAAAATACAGTTGGGAGGAATACATTATTTCATAAGCATATACAACTTGCATGTCTTCTTCTGAATGTCAAACTAGTTAAGTTTTTGCCTATTCTCAGTGTTCTTATTTGTTCTGTATTGGCTTGCATACATTTTCTTATAGTCTCTTTAAGACAACAGGTCAGTCTAGACATGGACCGCTTACACTATGTGCCTAAACGGGCATCAGTTACACCTCACCAAAGTCAATCCCCAGGGGGTGGCTGTGTGTCTCATGCAGATGGTATCTGCTGGCATTTTGATTCTAGACTGACAATGTTAGTGGGATCAGTCTGGTATGTGAATGGCATAGGTTCTCTCCGTAATGGCACATGCAAGATGCAGGTCTGAGAGACGGGGATCACTATGCTTAGAGGGGTATTAGTTAATCCTCACTAATGAGGATTAGCTCACTGAAGGCCATTTTTATTTATCAAATATAGATAAAAAATACATGACATGGAAAAATATATCAATATATATAAAAAATCTAAATATTTAAATATTTAAGCAATTACTATTTATACATTTAGTGAAATATGTAGAAACACCCTTACACCCTTCAAGTCTTTCACATACTTCATATCATAAAGGTTGTTTTATTTGTTAAATTAAACATTTACATCAGAATTTTGAAGCAAATAATTTGTGGTTCAAATTATGATAAAATTGAGCATATGTAATTTAAAATAGATTTTCATTAGTTCTAAATTAAGTTTCAAAGAAGCATGCTCCAAAATGCTTTTTTTGATAGGTCCTAAATGTTCTTCAAATGTTTCCTGATTTGGGCTAGATTCTATTACAAGTGATATTCTCTAATAATTGAAAATACAATTTTCCACAGAAGCTACTCTTATCAAACTTTAATTTATCTCAGATTATAGCATCCAACTATTTGTGCTGAGATTGTGAGTAAACAATTACCCTATAAATAATATATATTAAAAAAATTGGCAATATATTCTGACATGAACATTTCACTCAATCAGTGAGTAGCATTGAAAGGAGAAGTTAAAAACACCTGTGAATGCCACCAATCTGTGGCCAACAATCTTTAGTTCCAAAATTTTATTTAGGGGCGCAAACATTACTAGAACTACTATTTCAGGAGTAGCTAGACTAGTATAGGATAGAGTATTCAGGATCCAAACCTGGAGCAGCAGTTTTGGGGAAATGGGAGTGGAAGTGGAAATTCCAGGACAATGAGGCTTAAATGGTAAAAAGCAAGGAGGGGGTAACCATTAACCTTCTTATAAAACTGATTGCTTATCTGGTGTTAGCAAAAACGTAATGAGGAATGAACAGGACATATTTTTCAGTCTGTTATACAAATAACACACATTGCTCTTCTCATTGAATTCACTGCACACTGTATTCACAACCCTTATAAATATACACATACCTCATGGTATGCAAATTTTAACACAGACCATTGTTAGATGTATTGCATAGTGATTTTTATCTTAACACATTGTTAGATAACCTCGGCAAAGAAGATATTTCCTGTGAATATCATGTAACATAATGGACATGTAACAGCAGACCATATTATTGTTTAATAAAGTATATGATACCCTAGTCTTATAGATAGTAGGCCTTTATTCTTGTAGAGTAGGGTATTAGTCTGTTCACTGAATAGTATCTCCTTAAATTCTATGGGAAAGTTGCCATTCATTAAACCATTGCTCTGCTTATAGATTCCAGTGTAAGGTGAAGGTGCAGGTCCTTGAGGCAGATACTGTTCTAAAGTGTGAAGGGTCATGTATAAATATTTGATAGTTGGAGATATTTTCCAGATCAATAATTTTTTTTGTCTAATATTTTCAATTTGGTTATCAATTTACAATTGATTGTTTAGTGAATAAACCCAATGAGGTTTTGCAAACTACATAGATATTCAGGGAGCAGAATAGTTTAATATATCCAAGTTTCTCTTCCCTAAGAAGCATTCCACGTAATGTAACATAAATTCAGTCGATAACACTAAGGATCTTTGACATTCATGCCTTCAGACTGGAGGGTGAAAATGTATTGATGTATTGGCACTAGTAGTCAAAAGAGCCCTTGTTTTTTTGCAAGGCCAAGCTGGAAAGGATAGGAGTCTATTCATATCTGAAGACCCAGTTACTACAAACATACCACCACTGAAGACCAAGTTACTCCAAAGCATACCACTTCATCTGTAAAACACGGTAGAGGAAGTTTGATGGCATAGGCATGCATGGCTTTCAATGGTCCTGGGTCACTATTGTTTATTGATGATGTGACAGAAGACAGAAGTAACCGGATGAAGTAGTGTATAGGGATATATTGTTTGTTTAGATTCAGCCAAATTCAGCAAAGTTGATTGGACAACGCTACACTTTACAGACGGACAATGACCCAAAACACACTATACTGCCCTGAGGGTGCCCCCACCCTCAGGGTCCCCCTCCCGCCCGGCTCTGGGTAGAGGAAAGGGTTAAAACTTACCTTTTTTTCCAGCACCGAGCAGGGAGCTCTCTGCCTCTTCTCCTCCCCTTCGGCTGAATACGCACGCGCGGCAGGAGTTGCGCGCACATTCAGCCGGTTTCATAGGAAAGCATTTATAATGCTTTCCTATGGACGCTTGCGTGTTCTTTCTGTGATTTTCACAGTGAGAATCACGCAAGCGCCTCTAGCAGCTGTCAATGAGACAGCCACTAGAGGATTTGGAGGCTGAATTAACCCTATTATAAACATAGCAGTTTCACTGAAACTGCTATGTTTATAGAAGAAAGGGTTAATCCTAGAGGGACCTGGCACCCAGACCGCTTCATTAAGCTGAAGTGGTCTGGGTGCCTAGAGTGGTCCTTTAATATATATATAATTATATATTAATATTGAAATACACTTAGAATGATGTTATTTATATATATATATATATATATATATATGTATATATATATAAAAAAAATATAAAAATCCCCTGCACTCACGCTTTAAACACTTCACTGCCGGGCGCATATACCAGGACTCCACATTACACAACTCCAAAATAGCAATGGCTGCTCTCCGGTCTTTAAAAATAAAACATTTATTGAATCAAGTTTAAAATAACGACCAACGTTTCAGTCCCCATTCAGGACTTTCCTCAGGGTCACAAAGCAAGACATGTCGTTATTTTAAACTTGATGCAATAAATTTTTTTTTTAAAGACCGGAGAGCAGCCATTGCTATTTTGGCGTTATGTGTATATATATATATATAAAATAAAAATAATCAATAAAGTGAAAAAAAGAACATTTAAAAAATTATTTTTTTATTTTTATTTTATATCTGTTTTATTTCGTTCTAATGATATTTTGATATTAATATGCATATATATTTGAATCAAAATTCATTTAGAATGTTATAAATGCATATACGTATCTATTTATCTCTCTCTCTATATATATATATATATATATATATACACACACATATATATTTGAATCAAAATACATTTAGAATGATGTTATAAATGCATATATTTATATCTATTTATCTCTCTCTCTCTCTCTCTCTCTCTCTCTCTCTCTCTCTATATATATATATATATATATATATATATATATATATATATATATATATATATATATATATATATATATATATACAAATTATATCCCCCATTACAATAGCCAGTCTGGAAAATTTCAATGTGTATAAACTGAAAAATTTAATGATACTATATCAGACCCTGTAACTTTACAAAATACCATAAAACCTGTACATAGTACTGGGGTACTGTTTTACTTGTGAGACATCGCTGAATACCAATATGTGTATTTTATTGCAGTAACAGCTAACAGTTTAATGACATTCACAGTTAAAATGTCACGCAGAAGTAAAAAAAAACTAAAAATAATAACATTTTCTTAATTTCTCTTTTTTAATATATTTTATTCATATTGAATTATGTTTAATATATAAATATTTAAAGTGACATAAAAGTCTAGTTTCTCCTGAACAAAATTATATATAATAAGTGTGGGTGCACTTAATATGAAAGAGGTGAATTATGGTTAAACAAAGATATAGCGCAAATTCAGGGTTTTGTTTACGTTTTGTTTTGATCTGAACTTGTACAACTGCCTCAGTTCTTAAGGGGTTAAGTCAGAAAGACACACAAACAAACAACTGAAGACAGCTACAGTAAAGACCTGGCAAAGTATCACAAAGGAGGAAACCCAGCGTTTGGTAATGTCCATGCATCCCAGACTTCAAAAAGTTATTGCCTGCAAAGGATTCTCGACAAAGTATTCAAAATTTACATTTTATTTCTCATTGTGTTAATTTGTCCAACTACATTTGCGCCCCTGAAATAAGGAGACTGTATATGAAAATGGTTCCTAAACATTTTATACAATATTTTTGTTTAACCGCTTCAATTACAGCTGAAAGTCTGCACTTCAATTGCATCTCGTTTGTTTCATTTAAAATACATTGTGGTGGCATACAGAGCCAAAATCATGAAAATTGTCTCAGTGTCCAAATATTTCTAGACTTAACCGTATATTCCAGGACTAAATATAAATAGAAACTACTTGGTAATACTGCTTTATCTTCTCACAAGACTTCTACAATATATTTGTTTATCAGGATATTTATTATGGGGCAGTGATGTATGTGGAGGGCTGCTTCAATAAAAAACAAATAATGATACTGCAGCTCGTGACTTACAAAGTAAAATCCCCATAGTAACCCTTCAATGAGTATGTGTGTATTAGAATGTGTAAAAAAATCTGTTATCAAGTCATATAACTGCATTTATAATATACAAAGCAGAATGTGATCTATAACAAATCCGTATTCTTTAAAGTAATGTTAATCAAGGGTCAAATATTCCTTCAAAGAAATTTATTTTGTTATAGTTTGCACTCGGCCCTGTACATTGTATTATCTGTAAATTTATAAATTGGTGATATTTCAAATGTGTTTTTGAGCAGCAAGTGCCTAATTACAGTCCATGCATATATAATAACAATATTATTAGATTTGAAGCAATTAACCCACATAATAACCACAATGTTTACAATTAATTTGTGGCAAAGGATTTATTGTTTCATGTTTTTGTTATTTCTTGTTTTATATTTATTGCACCGTTCTATACTTACTATAATTTTTTTTAAGGGCGCATAGGTCTTTCATGTGATATGATTTATATCAACATAAATTTAGTAAAAAAAAAATGTCAAACCTGGAAAAACGTGTATATTTTTCACAGTTTTGCCTATAACAATGTGCACATAATAAGGTCAGCTAAAGAAGAGTGCTTCAAAATAAATTAATTTATTTGTCCTGATTTACATAATACATCATCATATGTGTAGGATTTCAATTATCTTATTAGTTAGCCAAAAGCTGAAAATTTTCCAAATTAGCAGGGGTTTTTAATCAAGTGACGATTTAAAATGAATTTCAAATTTAAGATCAAGGTTGCTGAACTAAAAGCAAATCTGACATTTTCCTCCATTTCAGCTATTTTGAACTTAAGTTTAAAATTCACTTTGAATTCTCACTTTAATAAATAACCCTGTCCGTTTCATAGTGGTCACAGATATCCAAAAATGTTTATCTTGTTATAAAGCACACATCCTAAGGCATTTATCTAGCAATCTTCTGATACTTCACCTGGCCATTTTGCTACCACATCTGCTAAAGTTTGTTGTAATTTTATGTTTTTTTACATCAGACTTTTGTTATGCATTTCATAAATGTAACGTATGCAACAACAACAAAAAAGGTGCTCAGCTACATCTTGCCAATAACGTAATACCCTCAAATATACATTTGCAATGATTCTATTAAGCTATAGTTCCACTTTCAGTTTTCAAACTTGGAACTTCCAGATGATTTTATGGGTCTGTGTCTCATTTTGGGGCATTTTAGCAACTCACAGGTTAAAATTACACCATAGATGCATAAACAGAAAAAACACATGCAAAAGCCACCCACGGGTGGAAGGTGCACACAAATCCTAAAAGAATTCAATAACCATTATTACTGTAAGATAAAATGTATCCCTTCTTAACCCCTTAAGGACCAAACTTCTGGAATAAAAGGGAATCATGACATGTCACACATGTCATGTGTCCTTAAGGGGTTAAATGTGTCCCAATTGTATCCAGTGAAATAGGTTGTAGCAGAGGGATCCTGTAATCACTTCTCAGTTTTCATAAAGATATCATCTTTATGAAATACTGATCAAGACTGTGTTTGATGAAATTCCAATGCAATCCAAAGAGACCATATGACAAAGTAGGAACTAATTTGTCTTATAGGTAAACCTGAGGTTGACAACAGTTGACAAAAGCAGTACTCTGCCATCAACTTTTGTATAATCCCAGCAGCCAACACAAATTATGTCTGATGGATTAAAGCTTTGTCTATAGTTCTTTCTCGCAGGATCTTCCGTAGACCTCAGTATTGTACTCTTGTGCATGCATGAGAGTACAGCACTGATGTGACTTTTGACAACTGAAGCACCTGGATCCAAAGAATACAGCGCGACGTAGATGGCGGCAACCACAAGGAACCACGTGTTGAAATCTGTTAAAATATGCGAAGACCCCAAAAGTGACAAATCTGCTTTAATTAGAAACCTAAGAGAATGCTTTTTCGAAGGACAGGACAAAAATAGGTTCCACATAGGTACCGGCAGGTCCTAGATAAACTTTAAGGTTAAATAATCCTACTAGTATAGAAATAGACACTACCCATCTTATATGTCATATCAATGAATAAGATAATAGGGTCTCAAAAACAAACCAAAAAAAGGTAGTAATAAATAAAACATTGAATACTATACTCATGTGGCAGTGGCGGGGGAGACCTAATGCGCATGCACGTCAATGGCCGCCCGTGTGCATTAGACCTCCCCATAGGAATTTCAATGCTTTCCTATGGGGAAAATCTGACCCTGGAGGTCCTCGTGCAGAGCGTGAGGACATCCAGCATCAGATAATGGACCAAAGGTCCGTTTGGATTCCGGAAGCTCCCCAGTGACTGTCTGGTAGATAGCCATTGGGGGCAGACTTATTGCTGCAATGAAAACATTGCAGTTCTCTGGAACTGCAATGTTTAACATTGCAGCACTAGGTGCAAAAAGGACACAGCACTTAGACTACTTCAGAAATAATGGACACAATTGGCAAGATCAATAATGAGTGTAAACCAAACCTACAAAAGGACTTCAAAGTATATGTTTACTATACCAATACCATACCCTCACTGAAAAGCAATATATCACCCTCTGCAACTCACTGGACTATAAATTTCCAACTTCCACAACTATACAGAGGTAAAGTGCAGCAGTAGAAAATGAAAGGCAGCTTCCCTAACATTTAACATGCATTTCAGTAAACTAGATCATACAAAGTAAATTTGTTGTCACAATTAGGAAACATTTTAATGTATATTTATAACGGAAATTTTAAAGCAATCTAGGGGTTTTGTGTGTAATCCACATGTGGGTGGTTGTTGTGTGTATTTTTTGTGTTTTTTTAAGTATTAGGGAGTTACCCTTACAGGACACACATGTCTTTAACTAACAGCCCCTTTTCTGTATGTTACTATAAACACATACCGTTGTCAACAGTAGACTTCCTGATTAAAGGAATGCTGAATTGTACTTTTAAGATTTGCTTTTATTTAATTATTTTTAAAAGTGAGACAAAAACATTAAAAGATAATTCAAATTAAACATTTTTTTTTCTTAATTTTTTCTTCTATATAAATTCATTTTCCCTCGAATCCCAATGAAATTAATCATTTGCAGTTTTCAGAAGAATATATCACTTCTAACTATAACAAAAAAAAGTATGACTTATAGTTTTGAAAAAAACAAAAAAACATCTTGCTGTCATGCAATACTGTCAGAACAGTATATTCTTAGCTACCATTGTGGAACATAGAAGAAAAAGTTTTATTAAATGAAACGTATGTAGATATGCAGGTTTCTATAAAGTTTCTATAGAGTGGTAGAGGGAACCTCAGAATGCTTGCTTCCAAACACCTGAGATTATAAATCTGGCTCCTAGGCATGTGCATTAATATCACCCTTTGTTTGACATTGTTATAATCCTCCCCAAATGACGAGTGGAGTGAAGTGTGGGGGAGCAATACCTGGAGACCAGGGAAGAACTTCATAGATTCTTCTTCCCTGGTGGGGTCCATGGTTTTCACTGGAGGCGGAAGTAAAGACAATGGATAGGGCCTGTAGAGATCACAAGACCTTTAGCAGCATGAGGCCTGTTTTTTTTTCTCCAGGCCATTTATTCTTTGTGCATTTGAAAAGTCAGATCAGCAGAGCAAAAAGAGACCAACGGAATATAATTAAGCATATTTGTTGAATAAAAAGTCTCTACAATACCTACTACTAACCAATTGGTATACTCAAGGTCTGACAGAATTTTCTCAGAAATTAAATGTGTATTTTCTAATTGCAAGTTATCCACAATATGTTCTATATTTTTATTGTTTCATTCAGAAAATCCGTAATCTTCGAGGCTCTATCAAATTATCTAATATCAAATGCATAGAGATTGTAACAACTGATGTATGTATCTCCTGCAGGAACAAATACCCATTCCAGGTAAGACATTGAAATGTTATGTTAGTACTATTATTTTTTTAATTCCAATCTACAAGCATATTCTGTGATATTCCATGATTTGAATGCTGGGGTATGCAACGTTCAACATTCCATATGTTACAGACTACATCTCCCATAATACACTTACAGCCATAATGCTGAAAAATAATCAGGGAAGATGTAATCCACAACAACTGGAGTGCCACAGGTTGCCTACTCCTGTTATACAGCAATGGTACATGCTAATAAAGTGCAAGATACAAAAAAAAAAGTTGAGGGAGCATAGTGAAATTTGCTGGTCAAGTCCAATTCTTTTCATGGATTCATTAACCAAAAAGTATGTAAAATTATGCATTAATTATTGGATATTATTTTGATTTAAGTAGTCTACGATACATCCACATTTCTTGAATTCAGTAATCAAACAGGCTTCCATTCTGTTGAAATAGACCTATCCCACCAATGCCTTCACCCAGATGTTGAGAAATTGAGATAAAAAAGTGAGGGCCTTGCTGAGAGGTATTGAGGGGTATAGAAGGACGCATTGATCAGGCACCCTTAGAGTAAATTATCAGACACGTGGGTAGAGAGTAAATCTAAAATTGGAAATTTTGCCACCCACTCATTTTTAACTTCTCTGCGGTAGGGAGAATAATCGTTTATGTTCTCTGCATCCACGGCAAGAGGATGTGGTAAGGAGAGTGTGGACTGTGTAGTTGCCAATGGCTCTTGTTTTTAACCATCTATTAGGCTGATTTCCCATTATTATTCTACTTTTCCCTGATCACATGGCCCAGAGCAGCTTTAGTAGATGTCTTAAGTGACTTCCTCTTATATTTTACTATTACCTCAACCCGCAGCCTTGAGCATAGGAGGTTGAGAGGGCAGGACCATAATCACTCAGATGTTTACCCTGTTTAATAAATCACTCAATCACTCAGATGTTTAATAAAGTGGGAGGACTATTTGCCAACTTCATCTTTATTAACCCCTATCAATACCTCTGGCATTCAATAGAATAACTATAGGGATTTACGAACCTATTTAAGAAAATCTAGACAAAACTGGTTGGTCCCTGACAAAATTTTGATGAACCAAAACAGGAGAATAAATTGTAATACATTATGTTTTCTTCTGTGCAAATCTAGCAGATATTAGGTAAATGCATCAAACATATACAATAAACTTTAATTATATGTGATCCAATCTCGTGTACATTTAGAGTTCAGTATATACTATATCAGGGTTCTAACAACATTTATGTATGTTGACTTGCTCAATCTCTAGCAGCCATGAAAATTCTGATGCCTATTGTTTTGTCACCAGGTGGTACATGATAATTACTTTCTGTATGTATTTGCACCAGACAGAGAAAGTCGGCAGCGATGGGTATTGGCTTTAAAAGAAGGTAACAATTTTTATTACAGATATGTTTAGATGCACACATTGGATTTCTACAATAGGTGGTAGAAATTTAATTTATGGAAGAGTCTACTTAAAGGGGCACTATAGTGTCTGGAGCATAAACATGTATCCCTGACACTATAGTGTTGGCCCTACCTACCTCAGGTTAAAAAGGTGATTTACACATTCTTTTCCAGCATCGTGCGGGACTACTCATGTCTGGCCTCGCACCTAATCCACCTCCTTGGCTGACATAATCAGAATTGATAGAAAAAGCATTGGATTGGCTGAGATCAGCAATTCTGATGATCTCAGCCAATGAGGTGGGGCATGGGCGAAGCCAAATGGCACCCTGGCCAATCAGCGTCTCCACATAGAGATGCATGCAATCAATGCATCCTTATGGGAAAGATTCTCTGAAAAGGCAATGTTTACATTAAAATGCCTGCAGGGACTGACTATGCTCACCAGAACAACTACATTAAGCTGTAGTTGTTCTGGTGATTGTCATGTCCCTTTTAAGTTTGTAACAGAAAGATTGTTCTCCTGACTAGGAAACAAAGTTAAGAATAAACTGTATATACAGTGAATGGGCAGATTGGATATGCAAAAGCTCTGTTTCTATGAATGCATCCATACATAAACCTTTTGAGTATATACAGATCTACTTTGATTATACAATCCTGCCGTTTTAAGTAATAATTTGGAATGATTTCTTTGCAAAAAATGTAGAATCTTCAACCTAAAACAAAATATTGTGGCCAGTCACTTTACCTGCAGGGTTTAAAAAACTGCATCCTTAGTAACTGCCAGGTACAGTATGGTATGCTTTGTAGATCATCATTAAGATCCCTACAGGTGAGCACAAGGGCTTGCGAGGAAGAAGATGACAGAGTTACACAGACATTGGCGCCTAGAGTAGAAGTAAAGAGTTTTCAGTGGTAGCTTGTAGAAATAATTAGGGACAATACTGGGATATCAATGAAGGCAGAAACAAGGCTGAAATCACAGGTCTTACACTTGTCAAAACACAAGAATGTATCATCTGATCCCTAGAAGGAATTGATCACAATTCCAATGCTACAAGGTTAAAACAAACTACCAACATAAATAGCAGAATTGCTAACTAAACGGTTTATCAACTAACTTACTGGTTCCATTCATTTTTCTGTCTAAGCTTAAAACTACCCTCAATTCCAACCTCAAAAAACATGATAACATGATATACTGTTGTAATTGATCACTATGAAATACATTTCTCAAAAATAATAATAATAAAATAACAATTGAGAGATTGAGGATGTTGGTGGCACTTTTGATTTTTAAGTAAGTGTAACTTGCTCTTTATCCTGGTCCTATCACACAAGATCAGTGCAGACTAGAAGCCATGACATATCATAGATCATGTATAGATGATGGAAGTGCACTCAATTCTTTGTCTGGAATTCAGGGTGCTCAAATGGATAAGTCCCAGTACCAAAAAAGGACCAATTGTAGCATTTGAATATAGAAAATAATCCAGGCACTCCAACGAATTCCAAAATATAGGCAATCTTTATTAGAACAAGGAACCAAACAGCAACGTTTCGACCCCTAAGGGCCTTTGTCAAGCTTGAAAACCAAACAGCAACGTTTCGACCCCTAAGGGCCTTTGTCAAGATTGACAAAGACCCTTAGGGGTCGAAACGTTGCTGTTTGGTTCCTTGTTCCAATAAAGAATGCCTATATTTTGGAATTCATTGGAATGCCTGGATTATTTTCTATATTCATATCATAGATCATGGCAGTCTTACATTGTCTTGTTTAACCCCTTAAGGACACATGACGGAAATATTCCGTCATGATTCCCTTTTATTCCAGAAGTTGTGTCATGATGGGGTTAAGACAGCCAGCGACTGAGCCAAGGAGACGTTCTTTGCACCCATGACCTGTTATTACTATTAGTCACAACTTTATTAGCATGTAATGCTTGATAAGGCCATAGTGTTACACTTACATATTTTAAAGTACAGTATGCTAGATTAAAAAAAAAAAAAATGAAAACCACCTTTATGAACTATTATTTACTATAAAATTGGTGTGACAGTGGTGATTATAAATTATATGTCAAATGAACAAAGAAAATATTGTACACATTCTGCTTTTCCCGTTTCTGTAAAATGTACAGCTAATAAAATAATTATCAAATATACATCTGAATGCTGTCAACAAGTCAAATAATGTATTTACAATGTACGATGAGCTGTGATGAGCTACTAACGGACTTCCAAATTGTAGGCCAATATAGCAGAGTTTAAAAAATCCCAGATTAAAGGAGTCCAGAGAAAAGGCCAGCGTTCATATTTTATTCTGAATCTGGTAAATGAAGTGTCAGCTTAAGACAACTCATTGTTAATTCATAAATTCACAAGAAGAAGAACCGAACCATTAACAACAAATTATTCATTAAAGTGAGAAATCAAAGTGAATTTAGCATTTTAGACCACAATAGTCAAACTAAAAGCATCAATGGCTCAGAAATGTTTTCCCATTCAGCTATTTTACCCTTAAATTAGAGAATTAATTTTGAATTCCCAAAACATCTAACATTAGTAATTAACCTTGTTAATGTGGCTTGCCGATACATGACATGTCCAGTCATGGAGCTCATTATGCTCTGTTCCTTCTTTTCAGGTACCAGGAACAATGACAGTCTCATCCCCAAGTATCACCCTAATTTTTGGCTGGAAGGAAGGTGGAGATGCTGTTCCCAAACAGAGAAGATGGCAGCTGGGTGTGCTGTGTACGACCCAAACAAGGATGGTGAGAGTAGCTCCATTGTGTAAATGGTGTAACTGGTTCTTCTTTGCATTTAGTAGGCAGTGCTGATACAATCTGCCTGTTGCAGCCATTGTGGACCCACATTAATAGCATGGGAACCCACATTATGAGTCGTGATCGAGGGTTAAAATAACACAAGTAATGCCCTGGCTCCTCCCAAGGTATGTAGTCAAACCATCTGAGAATAAAATTAATTTTCAACTCAATGAATAGTATTTTATCTGTGCTTGGAGTGCAGATGCATGTAGTACATGTTCAAACCCTATAACCAGCATTAAAACAATCCATTCTGTTATGGTAATATCTAAGCATGATTTATCCCTGAATAAAGTGCCTAGTTTGGAATAAAGCGTTGATGACAGTTTTCAATATTTATGCTAAAGAGAGAGAGATTGTGATATAACTACTACATAACATATATTTACTGGAGCTGACTGTTATAGCAATTTGAACTTTGTTTTGAATACAACTGCAAGTTATGTGAGGCTTTAAAAACAGGCTTTTTTTAGTAACCCATCTTTCCATAAAAAAGTTGTGATTTGATATGTTTGTATAGATTTTTAGTGCTACAGGGAATTCTTGGTTGGCTACAAGGGTACTGCTAATGTATTGCACATACAGTGTGAAGGGCATAAATAAGTGGAATACAAAGGAACTTAAAGGACCACTCTAGGAACCTAGACCACTTCAGCTTAATGAAGTGGTCTGGGTGCCAGGTCCCTCTAGGATTAACCCTTTTTTTTATAAACATAGCAGTTTCAGAGAAACTGCTATGTTTATAAATGGGTTAATCCAGCCTCTAAAGCCTCTAGTGGCTGTCTCATTGACAGCCGCTAGAGGCGTTTGCGTGCTTCTCACTGAAAATCACAGTGAGAAGACGCCTGAGTCCATAGGAAAGCATTGTGAATACTTTCCTATGAGACTGGCTGAATGTGCGCGCAGCTCCTGCCGCGCATGCGCATTCAGCCAAAGAGGAGGATTGGAGGCGGAGAGGAGGAGGAGAGCTCCCCGCCCAGCGCTGGAAAAAAGGTAAATTTAACCCCTTTCCTTGCCAACCAGCCCGGCTCTGAGGGTGGGGGCACCCTCAGGGCACTATAGTGCCAGGAAAACAAGTATGTTTTCCTGGCACTATAGTGGTCCTTTAAGATTGTACCTTGTGGGGTTCCACATGCAGTGGTGTATTTAGGATTTGTGCTGCCCTAGGCAGGATGGTGCTTGGGCACCTCTCCCCCCCGCCCAATTAAAAATTTCCCCACCCCTTCCTGTCAAAGACACTCACTGACAGACGCACACTCACTGACAGACGCACACACTCACTGATAGATGCATACACTCATTGACAGACACACACTCTCATATACACTGACAAACAATGACATACACTCACTGATTTGACACACTGATAGACAGACATACACTTACTCGGACACACTCACTGACAGACTTACTGACAGACGCACACTCTCACTGACAGACGCACGCACTCACTGACCGACACATACACACTGACTGACCGACACACACACTCACTGACACACACACTCACCTACCCACATTCACTGACACACACACTCACTGACAGACACACACTCACTCAAATTCACTGACACACACTCACATTCACTGACACTCACATTCACTGACATACGCTCACTCACATTCACTGACTCACATTCACTGACACACACACATTCACTCAAATTGACAGACACACACTCACTCAAATTCACTGACACACACACTCAAATTCACTGACACACACACTCACATTCACTAACAAACACACACACATTTCCCCCACTCACTATTATTAATATTGTTTTTTTTTTAATATGAACTCCACCAAGCCTCCCTAGTTTTGGGATACCTGGGTGGATATTTCACCTGGGGTCCAGTGGGGCTGCTGGGCAGGGAGGCAGCCGGACGTGCAGGCAGGCGGGCGGCGAGCACTTTCCCCTGAGCTCTCTGACGTCATATTCTGGCTCCCGGCATTACTGTGGGTCGTGCGAGGGAGCTGAGCAGAGAGCTCAGGGGAAAGTGCTCCCTCGCCGCCCACCCTGGGGAGCCCAAAGGTGGCCAGCTGGCCAGCTCTTGGGCTCCCATAAAACAAGGCAAACAAGGTATTTGACTGGGCATTTGGGGGCGTCCCCGTTTTTTTGCCGCCCCCTGGAAATTGCCGCCCAAGGCAAATGCCTTGTTTGCCTCGCAGCAAATACGTCCCTGTCAACATGATACGTTGAGTGATCAGTAGACCATGGACATCAATTTTCTGTCTATAATGCTATGTCACATGTTTAGTTCTGGAGAACTATTTCTATTAACAACTACAATTATTTATTTTGTTATTCCATGATGATACATTGATATATTTTTAATGACACATTTAAGCAACACTAACTCTTGATTTGGTCGAATTCCAGACAGAATTAGTTACAAAATTAAAGCAGCACTGTCATGCCGAACTTACCTTAGTTTTCATTAAAACATAAGACAAAGTAGGGACTACTTTGTCTTATGGAGGTTTCCTATGCTTGCAAAGTGTGCTTTGTTTCCGGTGATCAAAGCAATTTTCTCACAATTCTCAAATTTCACTTAAACAGAACGCCAGAGAAACTACAGAATTTCATCCTAACAGAATGAGAATAGTTTGTTCATCCATGTTAGGATGCATTTCGTGACTTTGTTCGTATCGGAATTTCATTCATATGAATGAAACTCCAATCCTATGACTGGTCATAGCTGGTCAGGCGTAGGAAACCTCCATAAGACAAAGTAGTCACTACTTTGTCTTATGTTTTAAAAAAAACTAGAGCAGATAGGAAAAAATGAATAACAGATCCTGACAGAGGGAGAGAAGATGAATCGATTGGGAAAAGATAAGTTCGGCATGACAGTGCCGTTTTAATTGGTAATGTCTAGACAACAGGAGGCATCTAAACGAATATAGTTCAGACATTACCTCAGGGCATGAATTTTTACCTAGTACTACCTCATCACAAATATTGTATGGTATCTCTTCAAGCATCATGAAGGTTACTAGGAAGGGCAAAATAATTGTATGGGGATGATTGCATAGAGTTTAGGATGGGTGTCCTGCATAATCCTAATGGATCCCTTGGACCCAGATGGAACTTTGAGATCACATCTATGGCCACTTTAGCTTAGGCCAATCTGACAACTGGTCTTTTGTTTTAATTTACATTTTTGTTTTCAGGGAGTACAATGAATCGGGAATTCCCACATTATATACCTTTGTAGGTGACATGAGAGCATAGGCCAGTGCCAGTTTTAGCCCTTCTTCTGACAGTAGATCCGTGGAAGGGAAGGGTTTAAATTTGGAAGAGAAAGGGAATATTGACACAGAGGTTTGAAGTATGAGTTTGGGACAGCAGAGGGGCCATGTCAGTTGATATCAGAAAAAAAGGGAAATAGTTGAGGACAATCAAGAGGGGGCTGATTTCAAAGTGTATGAGTACACGTCAACAAAGGGCACTTGTGTTGAATTGACAGCAGTTTACATTTGGACAGAAGAAGGAGAGTATGAAGTGGATGGAAAAGAAATAAATGAGACAAAGTGGGTGATATAAGCAGGATATATTGTTTAGATTTGTTTTTCATGAGGACTTGTCAAATACTTTTGTTTTTTTTAGTGTTAGATGTCTAACTAGTTCTTTAAGAGTTAGGTGGTCTCTAGACCCATGGAAGTAGCTTCTCTTTTAAGTTCAAGCAAGTATTGTTTTATATTGCAGCTTTGCTTTTCTAATATAAGGGGTGTCAGTATGGCTCTGTATGTAGTTATTATTTCTTTGGATGGAATTGTAACCACGACTTGTTTGCTTATTTACCACTATAACGTCTTAAAGCATAGAACTTAGTAGGGCTAACCATACAGATATCTTAGCCATAATTTTATATAGTTAGTAAGAGATCCTCTATTTAACATATATAAATAATTGAGAATACAACATAAAATAAGCATTGTCTTGGAAGCAATAAAGTTTTGTCTTTTTGATATTTATTATATAAAAATATAAATATAGACATATAAAATCCATTATAGCAGAGTTTGTAAGATTAAACGAAATGCTTGCAAATATCATTAATAGAAACATAGAAACATAGAATGTGACGGCAGATAAGAACCATTCGGCCCATCTAGTCTGCCCAATTTTCTAAAAACTTTCATTAGTCCCTAGCCTTATCTTATAGTTAGGATAGCCTTATGCCTATCCCATGCATGCTTAAACTCCTTTACTGTGTTAACCTCTACCACTTCAGCTGGAAGGCTATTCCATGCATCCACTACCCTCTCAGTAAAGTAATACTTCCTGATATTATTTTTAAACCTTTGTCCCTCTAATTTAAGACTATGTCCTCTTGTTGTGGTAGTTTTTCTTCTTTTAAATATGTCAGCCTCTCTGTCATTTTAAGATGGAGCAGCGTCTGTCTCCAAGTCTCTCTTCTGTTTCTTAACATTTAAAAGTACACCTATTTATACCTTAGGTGTCTCCATTTTAGGGTCACCGTAGTTCATATATGAAAAAGTAACACTTATTTTACTTTATTCATTTTAGGACCTCCCTTAACTTGGCAAAAATACAAGTCCATAACTAAAAGGTGTATACGTCATGGAAATTTTCCTGACTTAGTTCAAGATGGCATCTTAAAGTCTGAACATCCTTATCTACTTAGGGTTACCACAGTATATTGTGTACTGTAAGAGTCATAGGATAGCCTTGAAGCTTGTTTATGCATTATTGTTATTGTAATTCGTCTGGGACAAAATGGCGTAAACATAATATGCACTGAGGTTATTGCTTAAAGAAACATCTATGAAAAACAATATGTTCCATTTCTAACACCTTGTCAATTTGCAATATCTCTTAAAGACAAAGTACACAGTTTAAGAAATACAGCATTTCATTCTAAAACTTGTAATATTTGCATTTGCCCATAACAGAATTGTGGTGCAAGGATATTTTATCCCTGAATCCGTGGACGCCACTGTCCTAGACACTCAGAATTAAGATAGGAAGAAACATTGATTTAGCAGTAAAGACATACAAAATGGATGCTTATCTTTTAATCCTATATAGAAGGTATGTGGCTTCACATATTTATTGGTGGAATATGGAGATCATTGTATACATTTGTTATTGTTCTTTCCCCTGATTCTAATCATCAGAAAGTTATAAAAAGGAAAAATGTTGAGAATTAGACACATTTTCTGAAAATTTTACTTTAGTTGTTTGTGAGTAATAAATTGCTGGTTTAGGAGTTTCCCTTTTAATCAGTTTCGTGGTGTATGGCTCTACAACAGCTTCTGCTCCCTAAACTTATGGTTGAAGTGTGATACTTTGGTTATAACTTTCGAACTTTCATTTAGGCTACGGCTGATTTTTACCAATCTGCATAAAATTGTGACTTGGTTCACACAATCTGGATTTAGGCTTCAATTTTAGATAGTTACTGTCAACTTCAAAACAAGATCCTCTCATAATGGTTAGAACTGAGCAGCTATCTATAATCTTAACCTATTCATTGCTAAGTGCTGTTTAATATATATATTTAAATGTTTAATATTTATATGAAGGTTAATATGACTAGCTAGCACATAAACATAATTGGTGGATGGTTGTTTAGATTGTTGCACAGGGATGTCTATGATGTTTAAGTTATGTAAATTGGTTAAATTTCAGTTTTATTCTTTATGTATTTATTAATTTTAGATTATCATAATCTACCACTTTATCAGCACAGTCTTTATGATCCCTATCCCAGCATACCCATATAAAGCAAGCCATTATTTATATTGGGGTAAATTACATATATTCATGCATTTTAAAAATGGTCAATCACACACACACTCCCATATATACACACAGTTGGTTATATCACTTTTCCCTATGCATATATACATACATTTACACTTACAAACATGCCTGGACTGTATATCGGCAAACTGGGCATATGCCTGGTGGACCACAATGGCCATGGGCCATACGCTACCTGAGCACCTGTCCACATAGGGAGCTCAGATCCCTCAACGATCTCCGTCACCGGTCAGCTCTCTATAATGCCAGCGGACCTAGGGAGCTTGTGGTCGATGCATTTAGCTGGTGCAGATAGCATAAACTGCTCCAAGGAGTGTTTCAGAGCATTACCATGGCATACTTTCCCAAGAGCCTGCAGGACCAAGATAGATCAGGATTTCCCCTATCTGTCCTAAGGTAATTCAGAGCAAGGGAGGAATAAACTAGTTTAATAATTATTAAAGGTAACAGTAGGTTTCTAGTGCTTATTGTAGAAAAGGGCAGCTAGAGCAACCCAAACCAGATTTGTTTTCTGGTCATGGTACAACGGTATACAGGAAGAGGGAAGTAGTGCCTTGCAAAGACCATCCGGTACAGATATATACAATATAAAAGAGGACAAAAGAGTGGAATATAGTCTTTTTTGATGTGAACAAGAAAAAAGGAAATACACTTGCAGTGTCCTGGAGCTATGATTTAGTTCCAGTTTAGTACGCCTAGTGAATAGCGTGGAGTGGAATTATCCCTACTCCTGGATTTACGTAATATTCACCAGTCTTGAATAAAATGATAGCAGTCCTCACCGGCATAGTATATGATATAAAACACAAAATAAAATATAGGGCTCACTGTATATTATTATAAGTTATAGAATAATGGGACAAAGTACATAGCAAATTGTGGTTTTGTTCAATCCATAAGGCGTAGATGGTATCTTCCCCACCAAGGAAACTGATGTTCGGATAGCAGGATAAAACAGGAAGGTCCAAAAGTTGTAAAAATAAATGTTAACTTTATTATCCATAGGCATTGCTGGATGTGGCTTTGGGGGCTGAAGCCCCATTGGGCTTCTTTGTCTCAGATCCACAGTTTCTGGAGGACGATAGCAGTGTGATTTTTTTTTGTTGTTGTAAATTTTATATCAGGCAGGTGATTCTTAAAACAGTTGCCTATTATAAAAAGAAAGATCAGTAGTATAATGCTCCACCAGGGTACTTAGTGGTAGGAGATGGTGTCCCCCATGTTATTGTTATTAGGAGGTGTTGGAAAACAGAACTTTGCTGCGCACCCCTCTATTAAATAGGTAGATTGGTGATCAATGTGCATTATGCTTGTTTCTGGCTATATTTTTATCGAGATGCTGGAGAGTATCATCAGCACGATGTTCATTGGTATCAGGGGTGTACCTAGAGCATTTGGCACCCAGGCGGATCCTGTATTTGCCCTCCCACCCCACGCACACACACACACCTGTACAATGTAAAAAAACACCCACTTTTTTATGTTTTCTAATTTGTTTATTTTTTTTTTGTTTGTTTTTTTATTGTCTTCCGGTCTTCTACAAACTGCCTTCACCCTACAAAAAACCCTTGCCCAGTTCACCTTCTTTAAAACCCCTGCCCCCTATACAAAAACCCAGCACCTGCACCTCTACAAAAAACCCTGCTCAGTCCCCCTTCTACAAATCCCCGGCCAAGTGCCCCCTCTACAAAGCCCCTGCCCAGTCTCCCTTTTACAAATCCCCTGCTCTCCTCTACAAAAGCCCTGCACCCCTCTACAAAAACCCTGCGTGCCTTGCTAAAAAAAGAACCTGCACCCCTCTACAAACCTCCTGCACCATCCATTCACAAAAATCCCTGCCCTCCTCTCCAAGACCTCTGCCCCCCTACAATCTCCCTGCACCCTCCATTTACAAAAACCCCTTTCCCCTCTCTACAAAAAACATGCACCCCTCTACATACCTCCTGCACCCCTCATTCACAAAAATCCCTGCCCTCTTCTCCATGACCCCTGCCCCCCCATCAATCCTCCTGCACCCCCATTCACAAAAAATCCTTCCCTCCTCTCCAAGACCCCTGCCCCCCCCTACAAACTCCTTGCATTCATGTAATTTAGCAGGTGCTAACGAACTGTTTGGCAATATTTTCTTGCAAAGTAAGCATTGTGCTTGAGGAAAATTTTTATTTCTGGCACTTGTGAATCCAAATTTTAAGTAGCTGTCATGTCATTATATTTTATTTTCTTTGTTTGAGAAGAAGATTGGGTATCGTTGTGTGCTTTTCGTTTTTTCTTTGATTTGTCACTTGTCTCTGCTATTTGAGGAACAGTAGATTCAATTATTTCGGACTTTTTTTCTTGATTCCTTGTTGTATCGTCTTTCTCAGTTTCTATAAGTGTCGAACAGTTAGTAGTAATATGTTTTCTTTTGATAGTTCCTTGTTTTAACCAGATGTCCAAATTCATGGTTGTTGGTTGGTAAAAAAACAAAACAAAAAAAACACACTTCTCTAATCTGAAAAAATGCAGATCTTACTACCTGACTGCAATGGATGCTATTTTTTAATAATTTTTTTTATTTTTATTTTGGTATATCACTGATTCATACAGATAGTAAGCAGACTACATATATTTTTTAAATAAAATTATTTGTAAATAGGTTTAACAAAAAAAGTATGAGAAGCCCAACTAAAATAACTTGTTTTCTAATGCAGACTTTTATTACATCACAAAAACCTATCCACAGATATCACAATGGACACTAATCTAAAGGGCAGTATCAGTCTAAAGGGCAGTAAAATATATAATTTTCTTAATTTATATTGTTATCTGAGTGCCTGAATGCTTCCACTCTCTATCAACGAGTGGATATGAAATGGCTGACGAAGGGTGGGCTGACAGAGGGCAGGCTGGACAGGCTGATAGAGGGCGGGCTGAAACGGGGCAGGCTGAAAGCAGGCAGGCATGCATAAGTATGCGGCAATCTCACGATCTCTTAATAAGATCGAGCCCGCGCCATCTTTGCTGTTTCCGACCTTCCAGGAACAGCAGGGAGCGGTGGCCATCTTGGATGTGGCAATTCACTGCGGAGCCCCAGTTTTGTTCTCGCAGAACCCTAGGGTTCTGCGGAACACCGATTGGGAAACGCTGGTATAAAGGAATGAGACATGGCTTAAAAAGGTGGGAAGATGTGATGGTAAATGCCTACCTCTTTGTTGGTGTAGTTGGTGTCGACTTTACCTTTGTGTTAAAGACACAGGTGTTTCTGTAATCTAGAGAGTGAGTGAACTATTTCATTTGATTTAGTTTTGAACCAGCATGTGTAGTGATGCCTGATTTTATAGGTCACAGTCTATGTTGTATTTATGTTTTTCACTTCCATCGTACGTTCCAACATGTACGTTCCAACAATTTCCCCATCTCCCTTATGTGTCTCTCTCCCATCTCCCAGACTTAGCTGCTTGGGTCTTTGGTGGTTACACTTTTATAATTAAAATTATAAACATTCAATTTGGCATTAAGTGAATAAATAGAAAATAGACGAACAGTTAGAAGATTAACTAGATGGATATTATATGTAAAGAGAAAGCTGTGACTATTAAACAACTTTCTAGCGTGTGTACTAAATAAATTGTGATAAGAGCAAAATACTATAAAAATCCTTATTAATTTATTCAAATCTAAAATTTACTGCATCATCGACATATCTGAAGTAGGACTTTGGGAAGAGAGTCTGACCAGTGATTAAAAGGAACATGGTCAGTTTCTGATCATTATTATTATTATTATCATGTTATTTATATAGCACCATCATATTCCGCAGCGCTTTACAATGGGTGGACGAACAGACATGTAGTTGAAACCAGACAAGTTGGACACACAGGAACAGAGGGGTTGAGGGCCCTGCTCAATGAGCTTACATGTTAGAGTGACACAAAAAGGTAAGGATAGTATTAGACTAGTGACAGTTGCAGAAGAGGAATCAGTCGGGAGCTATTAACAGTTTAATTGATACGCTTTTATGAAGAAGTGGGTTTTTAACGATTTTCTGAAGGAGTGGAAACTGGGTGAGCATCTAATGGAGGAGGGAAGCGAGTTCCACAGGAATGGTGCAGCCCTCGAGAAGTCTTGAAGGCGAGCATCAGAGGTGGAAGTACGGACAGAAGATAGACGTAAGTCTTCAGCAGGTCGTAAGGGCCTAGACGGGACATAGTTGTGTATTAGGGAGGATAGATAGGTGGGAGCAGCATTATGTAGAGATTTGAAAGCAAGAACCAGAATTTTAAATTGAGCCCTATATCTTACAGGAAGCCAATGTAGGGACTGACAGAAGTGTGAGGCATGGGAGGTGCGAGCAGACAGGAAGATGAGCCTCGCCGCCGCATTCATTATGGACTGTAATGGCCCAAGTTGGGAGCACGTAAGACCACTGAGAAGCAGATTACTGTAGTCAAGACGAGAAAGGACAGTGGACTAAGGTGCAGTAATTTTCTAAAAATTACTATGCCCAAGCTGGAATTTTCCCGTGGTGCAACTTAGGCTATATGTAGATGAGGCACAACATTAAATTTTGATATATAAAACTTTATAAATTTGGGTTTAGTAACATGTCATACTATGTTTTTGGAAGCAGCCATTGTAAGATTGATAGACTTTGGTCATAGGAAGGATGCACATGGTCAGTATCACTGTTTAGGTGGGCTGTAGACATTAAAACAATGCTAAATTTTAAAGAAAATATTCCTTACGCAATTACACCACTACCAGCTAAAAGTACTGTCACAAAGCAGCGTGGATTGTGTATTCTGTATGTGATATTTATGCTAAATTCGTGCATGTCGCTGCAGAAGTTGAGCTTCATCAGCCCAATCTACAACGGTAGCCTCAGTTTCCTGTTTATAGCTAACAGGAGTGCAGCCTCGCAACCCTTCTGTAGCAGCTATTCCATTTCAAGGTTCAACATGTCAGTCATGTTTTTCTGTATAGAACTCTTGTAATGCTTGTTATTTAATTTATTGTAATTTTTTTTAACCTGAAAGCAGACCTCTGAACTCACTCATTAATCCGTTCTAGACAAAGGACATAACAGCATATCATGGGTTAACAGGCAGTAATAACCTATAATGTGTCAACGCATCTCCACCAGAAACAATCCCAGGGATTGATACTTGGTGTTTTTGCCACTGCTGGGCTACCTTGGGTGTGAGACAGACCAATAAAAACAAAATTGTACATAAACATTGTCTCTCATGACTGTAATAACAAGATCAGTGATTAGAGTATTATTATTACTGGCATTTATAAAACGCCAACAAATTCTGCAGTGCTGCACAATCAGGGGAAAAAACAGTATAATATACACAAAGCAATACGAAAGGTAAAGAGGACCTTGCCCGTGAGGTGACATCTAGCAATTAAAGCTCTTTAAAACAAAGCTTAGCTTACATACTAAAGATTATAGACAAGAGACACAAGGATTTCGAAGATGGTAGATGATGACCAGAGAGAATGAGAGGAAATCTGCAAACAGCGTTAAGATGTTCATAGAATGAGGATGTAGTTGAGCAAGATATCAAGAAGCTGGAGAAGCATGCTACGAAGTATACCTGGAGGCAGAGTGCGCAAAACAAGCAGAGTGTGGGCAGGAGGGGCTAGGGGGGCAAGTGAGAAAGTGCTTAGTTAAATAAGAGTTTCAAAGTCCTACCATCTACCAAACCTGTTGTATGGTTTGGTAGATGGTAGAACTTTAAACAGGCACTGTAAAGTTAATTAAAGTAATACTTGCACCATCTCAGCTTCCCGATGTATTCTCTTTCCCCTGCCTCTTTGCAGTAAAGAGCTTCTGCCATTCTAATACTAACATACCCACTCAACCTGCACTCACTCATACACTAATATACTCTAAAATGCAACCACTCAAACACACTAACATGCACTCACTCATACACACTCATGTGCACTCAATCATACACACTAATGTGCACTTAATCATACACACTAAAGTGCACTCAATAATACAGTCTAATTTGCACCAACTCACACAATAACATGCATTCACTCATACACACTAACACGCACTCATTTATACAGTCTAACATGCACCCACTTAGACACACTAATGAGTACTCACTCATACACTCTAACATGCACCCACTCAAGCACAATAACATGCACTCATTTATACATACTAACAAGGATTCATTCATACACACTAACATGCACTCACTCATACACACTAACATGCTCCCACTCAAATACTTTTACATGCATTCACTCATTCACACTAACAAGCTCTCACTTATACACTGTAACTTGCACTCACTTATACACTGTAACTTGCACTCACTTATACACTCTTACATGCACTCACTCATATACACGAACATTCATTCACACGTCCACGTTTATTGGGTAGCTAATAAGTTAGTTAATTCTTGTTTATTAGGTGAAATTTGGGGGTAGGCTTAGGTGTTAATTGGTGGTGTTCTGTAGCTCAGGTACATTTCTTTGTTTTCTTTTTTTTTTTACTTTTTTACATTTTAGCAAAGCTAAACAAAACTTGCTGTACTTATGTATGGTCCCACAAGAAACCACAAATTGTATGCATATAACGTGTTGGTATAAAAGAGAGAAAGGGGGAAATTGTGGTTGAACAAGCCCATAGCAAAACCTTTGTGCATCACCAAATAAAAATCCTAAAGGACTTAACAAAATGGTTTTCACCAACGCAACTGTAACTCACTTTGTGTTTTTTGTTGTTCACACTATTTTCTGTAAAATTCCAGGTGATCTGTGATTTCTAAAAGTCAGACATCCATGTGTGGCACCAAAAATCATGCCATGGTAAAATTACCTTAGTCCACATTTTCTTTCCATTCATAACTTCGAAAATAACTGAGCACCTTAAAGCGATACTGTGGCAAAACCAACCTCGCCACTGGGCATTGGAGAAGCCTGTTTGCCCGCCTCCTGCCTGCTGTCTATGGCCCCTGGGAGATTTGGCCCTTTTAATACAGTATTTGGGCATATTGTATTTTATTATGCTGCTCCTGGCCCTTTAAGAACCATCTGGGGACATACTGTGACTTTTGGGAACAATGCCCCTTTAAGACTATGGCCCTTGGAAGATATTGCCTGTTAAAGACTATTTTAGCAGACTGGATTTTAAAAGACTTGCTGCCCCTTTAAATTGTATTGGAGCAGTTCTGCAGCTTTAAATTGGCACGTCGGATGCAGCCAAAGTAGCCGCCATTCAACAAACGAACACATGGCGGCGGCCATCTTTAATTCAGCTGAAGTTTTACCTTCTCCAGACTTCAATGCATTCGACAGTTCATTCGACAGTTCGACAATTCGAATGGTTGTCGTTCGTCTGTTTGAACTGACTTTAACATGGGAAATAGACCGACCGCACAGCCTGATTCTCTGGAACTGTTTTGGGCATGAAAATGTGCTCAACAGCTGAACGGATTCGAATGATTTTTGGCTATGTTTATATTTAAAGTGTGCTTAACCCCTTAAGGACGGAGCCAAATGTACACGTTGTGAACGAAACAAAATGTAAACAAAACCTGGCATTTGCGCTACATGTCTGTCCAACCGTAATACACCTCTTTCATAGTAAATGCACCCACCCTTATTATATATCATTTTATTCAGGGGAAACAGGGCTTTCATTTAATATCAAATATCTAGCTATGGAACATAATTTAATATGAAAAAATGGGATAAAATAATAATTTTGTAATTTTCTTTAGTTCTACATGACATTTTAACTGTCAATGTCATAATACTGTTTGCTTTTACTGCAATAAAATACACATATTTGTATTCAGCAAAGTCTCACGTGTAAAACAGTACCCCCTATGTACAGGTTTTATGGCGTTTTGGGAAGTTACAGGGTCAAATATAGCACGTTACATTTGAAATTGAAATTCGCCAGATTGGTTACGTTGCCTTTGGGACTTTATAGTAGCCAGGAATTAAATTTACACCCATAATGGCATACCATTTGCAATAGTAGACAACCCAAGGTATTGCAAATGGGGTATGTCCAGTCTTTTTTAGTAGCCATTTGGTCACAAACACTGGCCAAAGTTAGCGTTAGTATTTGTTTGTGTGAAAAATGCAAACAAACGCCAATTTTGGCCAGTGTTTGTGACTAAAAATTTGAAAAAAATGAAACGCAAGCCTTTATTTGACGCTGTAACTTTTCAAAACACCATAAAACCTGTACATGAGGGGTACTGTTGTACTCGGGAGACTTCGCTGAACACAAATATGTGTGTTTCAACACAGTAAAAAGTATCACAGCAATAATATCGTCCGTGTAAGTGCTGTTTGTGCATGAAAAATGCAAAAAACGTCACTTTTACTGGCGATATCATCGTTGTAATACATTTTACTGTTTTGAAACACTAATATTTGTGTTCAGCGAAGTCACCCGAGTAGAACTGTACCCCCCATGTACAGGTTTTATGGTGTCTTGGAAAGTTATAGGGTTAAATATAGTGCTAGCCAATTAAATTCCCTTTACTTTCGGCATTGGGTTGTCAGGCAGGTCCCTCTAATTGTAATTAATTAAGATACCTAATAATGTAAAAATATTACATAAATATATATGTAGAATTAATATATGTATATATATGTATACGTATGTGAATCTATATGTGTATATCTATATAATTTTTTAAAAATATTTTTATATAGGTATATATATAGTGATATATACGTATATATTTAAGTATGTAGATATATATATTATTTCGTTCTACGTGTATTTTGATATAAATATATATATATATTAATATCACAATACAGTTAGAACGAAATAACACACATCTATATATTTTTAAAAAAAAATTTAAATTATTTTTTTAATTTTATTTTTTAATGTATTTACATATTTAATTTTTTATATTATATATAAATATATATAACAATAATTATATATATATTTAATCAGTATCAGTCTACGTGTAATTTGATATTAATATATATATATATAATTATATATATATATATTAATAGTAAAATACACCTAGACGGTGTACGTGTGTGTATGTATATGTGTGTATATATACTTAGATCATATATATATATATATATATATGATCTAACTATATATATATTTTTTACACTAATACATTTTATTTTAATTTTATTTTCAGCCAGCAGGGGGACCACCTGTCATTACAGGCAGCCCCCCTGCTGGCAATGCAGGAGGCAGCCTACCCGGCCATGTGATTGTGGGGTCCTCGCAAGGACCCCACTCTCACATGGCCAGGGGGCACCGGAGGAGGAGGATCTACCGTGGGGGGGCTCCCTGGGAGTCCCCCCCCACCGCGATCGCCGGCGGTCCAGGCAAAAACCGGAGGGCGTACAATTACGCCCGGCGGCGTTTAGAGCCGCCTAAAATAGGGCGTAATTGTACGTCCTCCGGTCAGAAGGGGTTAATAATATGTAATAATTGGATGTATATTTTTAAAGTTATAGTACATGTATAAAAACTGTATTTTTTCCGGTTGTGATAATTATGTTAACCCATTGTGTACCATAATTAGATCACAGGCAGAGGGGAGGATTTTGTGTATAATTGCTGGGAGTGTTTTCTGTAATGTACGTGTGTTATTGGTTGTTCTGTAAAACCCTGTGGGCAGTACTAAGTTTGTGGATTGGGAATAAAAGAGGCTGTATGTGCCAGTACAGTCAGTTCTGCTTGACCTCAAAACGAAGTGTCGTCTCGTTATTGGGGGAATTGGATTGTATGCTGATTGCCAGGAGTGTAAGCTGATTGTATGGTTTTCCTGTTCAGCTGCTTACAGCATTCATACAGCTTCACCGGTTCGGTGGTTGTGGTGTCTGCTGTGCTTGAAGTCCTCAGGAAGCGCTAGGAGCATTCTTCAACGGAGGTACCCAGTCGTGGTGCCAGGTGATCCGTTACAGATACTACAGGCATCAAAACAACTTTAGCTTCATGAAGCAGTTATGGTGTATAGATCATGCCCCTCCAGTCTCACTGCTCAATTCTCTGCCAATTAGGCATTGAATCACATTGGCTTCTGTTTATGCAGCCCTACCCACACCTCCCTCTGCTGTGAGTGACACAGCCTGCATGGTTTAATTTTCAATCAAATGTTAGCTTACTTTAAAAGGTTGTATCTCCTCCTCTGTAAATTGAAATTTAATCACACACAGGAGGTTCTTGTAGACTGTAGATATTAACAGAGCAGGAGATAAGAAATGCTAAATTAAACAGAATGTGCAATAAAGGAAGTCAAAACATTACGTGTCTCTTTACAGGAAGTGTATAGGAAGGCTCCAGGTGGGCTGGTGCACCTGGGGCTGACAGTGCAGCACAAAATATTTTTTCCTTCTCTGAATTTTTGTTTGGACTGGGGAAGAAAGTTACCTGGATAGCCGCAATGATGCTGTCAGTTTCCAAGTGGCAGCTGATTTGCAGGGAGGAGTGAGAGCATAGATAGTCTGTCTCACGAAAGCATATTTGCAGTTTTCAGCTCTGCAGGGTCAGTCTGGCAGGAACCCCTGCACTGTAGCTCTGCCCCCCAGCTGCAACCTGGTGACCTTTCACATAGGGAGAGGAAGAACTTCATGAAGATGCTTCATATTGCACTGGTAGTCCCCACTGCCGGTTACAGGTACTCAGCAGCCCATGGCTGATAGTGCGTGTGAGTGTGTGTATTTGTGTTAGTTAGCTTGTGTGTATTTGTGTCAGTGAGTTTGTGTGTATTTGTACCATTGAGCATGCTTGTAGTGAGCTTGTGTGTGTGTCAGTGAGCTTGTCTGTCGTGAGCTTGTGTGTATTTGTGTCAGTGAGCATGTCTGTAATGTGCTTTTGTGTGTCAGTGAGTTTGTCTGTAGTGAGTATGTGTGTGTCTGTCAGCTTGCCTGTAATGAGCTTGTGTGGCTCAGAGAGATTCTGTGTGTTTCAGTGAGCTTGTGTGGCTCAGAGAAATTTTGTGTATGTCAGTGAGCCTGAGTGTGTCAGTGAGCTTGTCTGCAATTGTAATTATTGCAGTTTCTGATTAAACTGCAGTAATTAAATTGCAGTAATCCTTACCTATGGGGAGGGCCTCGCATGCGCATTAGTGTCTTATAACATCGGAGGAGGTGGAGTGCCAACCCAGCGCCAAGGGCGCTGAAATCAGGTAAGTACACAACGAATTAGAGGGCCAGAATATTTTTTTCCAGGGCTGATTTTTGTTCCCAGTCCGGCCCTGGAAGGCTCTGCAAGTCACATGCAGGGAGGTGTGACTAGGGCTGTATAAACAAAGTGATTTAACTTCTAAATGTCAGATAATTGAGCAGTGAGACACCAGGGGCATAATCTATACACCAAACTGTTTTATTAAGCTAAAGTTGTGTGGTGTCTAAAGTGTCACTTCAGCCATGTCTGTATATATTTATGTATTGAATTGTTGCCATGTAATTGGCTAATAAGCGATTTGATTTGATATCTAATGATGTGCTCGCATTACACTTTTTGGTGTCCCTAAAAGTGACAAAAATAACTTCAACTGTATGAATACTTGTTGAATGCTCAAATATTTACATCACTTCGGTGTTTTTTGTTGATTTATGTATATAACATTTCATTTTTATCATCCGTATTCAGTGTGAAAATTCATAAGATTTTGCATATTTATGGTGGGTTACAGTCAGTAAAATAGATAATTAGACTTATAGAATCTGATACAAAAGAAATAGAATGCTACTATTGGGCATAAATTTAACATAAGTAAAACTTTTTTATAATATGAGTTTACGATCGAAAAGGAGATAATTGAGACAACTGATCATTTAAATTTGATGGTTAGAGAATATTAGTATAGAAAATCCTACTGTAATGAAAACCGAAATGCAAATTTAAGGCTGTAGGTTTGACTATAACAAAGTTAGAATTTTTCCAAATTAGTAATTTTGGTCCAAGTTTTTGAATCTACAATGTGCTGCTTATTGAATAAAGCTTACAGTGTGAGATAATTAGAAGTAATTACAGGTTACTTGAGACAGATGGAAATTCAATTTGTAAGTGAAGGAAAGGCATTCAGGGTTATTCACAAAGATGAGAATTGCTGCGAATTCAAATTCTTGCTTTTCTTGAATGCAACTCTGGGAAGACCGTTTCATTTAGATATTATCTCATAATACAAGTTGACCATTAGTCAGTATGTCTTGGTAAATACAATGTTTCATTTTGTTTTTGTTCTAGTTTTTGTTATTAATTCCTTTTTTGTTAGCGGGCAGGCATGGCACACAGATTGCAATGTTGCTAAAATTATGTGGGTGGGGAATGGTTGTTTCACTTGGTGGTGGGGGTATGAGAGTATTTTCCGTTCTCTAGCCCCAGTGAATACTATAGAGCCACATAACAATGTATTAAAGCTTACTTACCTTCATTTATCATGGTTACAACAGTGTTATCTTTAAACTTTAAAAGCTTAAATTCATCCCATAAAGGTGGAAGGACCCTGGCAGAGGCAAATTAAGCCAGAAGCGATATCCTGCTCTTTCAGGTAACCCACTTTGCATGGGGCAAACAACTGAAATTCTCCTCATAGTTTTACCTTGTTGGATATCCTTCATGCCATAAAACCAATAAATAAGAGTGAGAACCATGATTGGTTTATCAGTAACTTTTGCCCTACAAAAGAAAATTGCTGATAGAAATGTGAAATACCTACTTCTCAAGTGCACCCTCAATATTAGACCATTCACTATTGTTAATGTCTATGGCCTAGTGATGACTCCGTTACATTTTGGTCTAACCTCTTGAGTTAAATCATGGAATATTTTTATGGAGATTTGGTTATGGGTGGAGACTGCAGTTTTATCCTTGACCCCAAATTTGACACAACACAGGATGGGCGATCATTCACTTCCATTAGGGATGCTAAGTTTAAAAAGATTGGGGAACTGTTCTTATGTTACAGATTACATGATATGTGGGGGGGACACTATATCGTAGAAAGAGAATTTTCTTTGCATTACCAGGTGCACAGCTCATATACCAGGTTTTTTTTGTACCTCCTAGGGTGCTAAAGAATGTCAGCACCTCCTTTTAGGACATATATCACATGGTCAGATCATGCCCCCATTCTCCTAAAATTGAGTGACAGTTTCTCTTGCTGGGGAACGCCACATGGAGACTAAACAAGAGTTTATTAGCTAATTCCAAGGTTCTAAAGGATGGACACAAAGAGTTGAGGGATTATTTCCAATCAAACAATAGGTTGGATACACACATTAACACATGCCCTACACAACATGCCCACAGCCCTAAGGCTGTTATCAGAGGTATATTCCCTAAAGATGCCTCCTATCTCAGAAAAATCTCTCTTAAAAAGTGGAAACTCCTAAAAGATCAGCTTAACCAGAACCAGACTTCTCGATCCCCTGCCTTCCTAGCAGCAGTACACAAAATCCAGAATTAAATACCCACTATGCCCAGCAGACAGGATATATTCTTAGGTGTTTGAAGTGTTGATATTACACCCAGGGCAATAGGGCTGAAGCATTACTATCTAGACAGTTGAAAAAGAAACAAGGTGCCTCAAAAATATTCTACCTAGTGGACCAGCATGGGTAAAGAAGTTATGACCCCACTCATATCGCATCCGCCTTCGCCAAGTTCTACATTTTACTTTATACAACAGCAACACTATCCAACTGGGGAAATTGCCAAGTTCTCTCTGAATATCCCAAAGCAACATTTACAAATACTTAGAAAACCAGAGGCTTAGGAGGTATTTGACACTATAGCACCATTAAAAAGCCCTGGGCCCAGACGGTGGCATGTTGGCAGGTATTGTTCTCTCTATTATTCACTCTGATCAAATAGGGTTTGTTAAAACTAGGCAAGACTCCAAAATTTACCAGCAACATGTTTTGCACATTCACCTTTTGAGCTAAACCTTTGTAACATTAGAGACGCAAATGTGTAGAGATAACGCATGTTTCTGGATGACTCACTTTATGTGCTTATTGATCATACCTCTTAGTTTGTATCGCATGTCTGCCAGTAATTAACGCAATCTTTGTGTCTGTATATATCTCTTGTATTACAAAACCAATAAAATACGTGTTTTAAAAAAAGATTTGCAGGTAGCTATATGTGAGGACTCTGTATTTGGTGTGGATGCTAGATATTGGTTTAAACTGCACTTATGCTGCATGCAATTCCGGGTGTGAGTAGACGACATTGCACAAATCAAGTTGCGGGAGCTCAGTATTATGTGAAGCTAGGTGTAAGTGAATAGCACTGTGTGATGACAGACATATGTGTTCAACAATTGTGTAACTGGCTGTGGGTGCTCAGAATTTTATGAAGTTAGGTGTTAGTGGGCATTAAGGTTGGAAGCTGGAAGTAAATGAGCAGCATTGTGTGAAGCTAAATGTTAGTACTCGGCATGTCACCATAAGATGAGAGAAACAGGAAGCCATCTTGGACGTAACACAGAGAGAACAAAGCAGCAGCAACTCCCCCTGCAAAATGTAAGTGTACAGTATTATGTTTTTCTCTCTCCCAATAACCTTAGTGACTGCTTGATGGCTGATTAAGCAAGCAAATATAGGGAATATATATATATATATATATATATCTTTAGATTGTAAGCTCATGGGCAGAGCCCAATACATGTTGTATCTGTCTGTTTTTATTGTGTTGTCTTTCCCATTTATACAGTGCTGCAGAATATGTTGACACTTTATAAATGCCAGTAATAAATAAATTAGGAGACAGGCCGGTACATCATGAGACGTGGGGGAGGCCGTAGGAGGGCAACAACCCAGCAGCAGGACCGCTACCTCTGCCTTTGTGCAAGGAGGAACGGGAGGAGCACTGCCAGAGCCCTGCAAAATGACCTCCAGCAGACCACAAATGTGCATGTGTCTGCTCAAACTGTCAGAAACAGACTCCATGAGGGTGGTATGAGGGCCCAACGTCCACAGGTGGGGGTTGTGCTTACAGCCCAGCACCGTGCAGGACGTTTGGCATTTGCCAGAGAACACCAACTTCGCCACTGGCACCCTGTGCTCTTCACAGATGAAAGCAGGTTCACACTGAGCACATGTGACAGACGAGACAGAGTCTGGAGACGCAGTGGAGAACGTTCTGCTGCCTGCAACATCCTCCAGCATGACCGGTTTGGCAGTGGGTCAGTAATGGTGTGGGGTGGCATTTCTTTGGGGGACCGCATAGCCCTCCATGTGCTCGCCAGAGGTAGCCTGACTGCCATTAGGTACCGAGAAGAGATCCTCAGACCCCTTGTGAGACCATATGCTGGTGCGGTTTCCATTGTGGTTTTGCACTGGATACTTTGTATTCCACGTTCGTATGAGATGTTGGGGTAGTCCTCATTTGGGAAACCGAACTAAGTGAGTTCAAATGAGCAAATGAACAGGTAAAAAAATTAATATTACCGAACCAAGTGATGGGGCATTCCTTCACACCCACTATCTTCTTTAAAATTCTCAGTCATTCTCCAGTTGAGACCTGAGACACTTATGCTGTGGCTAATTGAAAAGTTGTAGTGCATCAAACTGGAGGACTGGGGCTGTGACTTTGAGTACTGATCTGATTCTGATTTCAATCTGTTTTCATCTGTAATGATTGTTGATTCTGTTAACCATGTCAGCTACTTTTGGCTCCATATTACTACTGCAGAGCAATTATATTGCCAGCTGCAATGGTAATGAGTCTATTAGTATCCTGTTGCTCTACCGTGTGTACACGGTGTCCTGATAGCTAATAGTGAGTCAGGGATAGCTGCAATGGTTGGAGTCCATGAGTATTTTGATGCTTTAATCATGTACACAATGTGTGCTGATAGCTATTGTAGTAGACTTACATGTTTCAAAACAGCCGAAATATTTAAGATACAATTCTCGTAGCAGGAGCCCTACTGAACATGAGATCATGTAAGGAAGAACTAAGAGAAGGCTCGGAAACTAGAGAAAGCGTTGAAGCATTATACAAAGATATATACTGTGTGGGTATCTCTGTATTGCAGCTGTGTGTAATCATCACAATGATCCTGGCTGTGTGGTTTACTTTTGTTATCTCCCTATTGTGCCCAGCTCCATGTTATTTCTCTGTATTTTATTCAGCTTCATCTGTTGTATGAGCCTCGATATAGTCTACCAAGCTCTGTGTATTGTACAGATATTTTTGTATTGTGCCCAGCTCTGTGTATATCTCTATTTTTTTCTCAGCTCTGTTTGTGGTATGGTTATATCTGCATTGTACTCAGCTCTATGTATTTTATAGATATATTTATCTTGTGCCCAATTTGTTTTATTGTGTGAGCATCTCTGTATTATCTCTGTACTGTATTGGTAGGCGTCAAATTCTGGCGCAGGAATCTTGTGCCCCATCATCTTAACATTTCACCAGCTGCCACTGGTGAGTGGATCCTATTGTCAGGAGCTAGATGTGAGTGCTCTGCATTGTGTGAGTGATTACATTTATGAAGTTTTTCAGCATTGTGGGAAGATCAGCATAAGTGGAAAGCTTTGTGTAAAATGGATGTGCATGCACACCATTATAAGAAGCTATATGTGAGTGCTCTGCATTGTGTGCAGGTGAGCATGCATGCGGTGTATTGTGTAAAGCTGTAATGATTAGATTGATGTAAAGCTATTGTAGATAGCATAGTGTGAAATATAAGTGGGCAGCATAGTGTGAAATATAAGTGGGCAGCATAGTGTGAACTGTTTTGCCACATAACCAAGTATAATAATTGGGGGAACGAGCCACCAACTCAGATTAACTCAGATGAACCCAATTCAGTTTGATGAGTTACATCCCTACATCTGGATCAAGACCTCAATATAAAAATAAATGTTTACCTTATTTTTTTGTGAAGTACCCTTCTCCAGTTTACAAAATCTCTTTGGTTGTTGGATTATCATCATTCACTAGTTTTGTGACTCAGCATCTGCCGTAATCAATACATTTTGTTAGGTCTCCAAAAGGTGAGAGTGAAAATTTAACAACTGCTTTCTTGGCAAATGATGCAGGTTTGTGGGAAATAATGTTTTTAATAACAGTGTTTTTGAAGTGTGTTTCGTAAATGTAAGTAATGTAGCAGCCCCCATAACACCTCTGGTGAGTAGCGACTAATTTAAAGGAAATGATGAGTTCAGGAAATTATTGTCAATCATAAGTAGACCACCAGATTATTTTTGGCACTTTCCAAAATCAGTGATTTGGTGTAAAACCACAATGTTTTAAAATGTTTGGTTCAAACTACTAGAAAATGTAAAATTTCCAGATCAAGAATGCTGATGGCAGGAAAATTCTGGAATGTTTGAATACATCCACGTGTTTATGTAAGAAACAATATCGACAACTTTGTCCCCCAAACATACTTAAATTGTGAATGGGTTTTCTCTCATTTTGACAGACGGTTTACTCAGATCTGCCATTTAGTCACTGATCCACTGATCCAGTGATCCAGAGCTAAACATACTTTGCCTTTACTAAGAGTGATTTGATTTATTATCTCTTTAACTAGTAATATTTTTGAAGAACCTACACCGTGCTGGCCCTATGGAATTTAACATAACAACCTTTTTTCAAGTTTTATATACTGGTTTTCTTTTTTCTTACAGCCACAAAGAAGCCTTTGCCTCCCACGCCAGATGACAACAGGGTAAGTTTATTCATAAGTATAGGACCACATAAAATATATGGTGTCAGGTTTTTGTTGACAAAATCATAATTATAAAAGTAATGGATTAGGTGTCCTGGGATCGATCTATCTATCTATCTAGCTATCTATCTAGCGATCTCTTTCTATCTTTATGAAAAGTTTCCCCATGATTTTTAATATTATAGTAATAATATAGAATAGTACACTCAGGGTCAGACTGGGAATAACACAGCCCTATTTAAAAATATATACCATCCCTTTAATTAGTATAATACATTATAACGCATAGATATATAGGTGGAAAGGCATGGAAAAATTGAAAATAATTTCTCCAACATGGAACACCCGTATAGAACTTAAGCAAAAGCTGCTTTCTTTTAAGCAGAATTGCACAAGTACACAGTCAATGTTTCAGCCCCATTACTTTGACGTAAACAAAAAGTCTGCTATAGGAAATATTACCATTGCACCAGTGCATAAAATAAAGTTCTATGAATGTACTCCTTGACATATATATTACTGAGCCAGGCAATAAGATTGGGAGAATGCGTGTGAAATCTTTGTTACATATGTGTTATGTGTTAATGTAATATATGATTGTTTTGTGCATATTGATGTATTTTAACATATGTGTATTACATTAAAGAAGCACCCTAAATATCAAAAGTACTGTAGCCCACTGTAGTGATTATGGTGGCATTCTATCACTGTCTCATAGTAAGATGATGAATGACCTGAAAACATGCACTAATATTAATTTTAGTCTGCGTTTCAGAGAGTATTGGTGACCACAGCACTTCTGCAGGTTGTTGATTTTTGTGTGAGAACTCTGCGGTTGAAATGCAATATAGAAAAAAGAGAGTGAGGGAGATGTACAACGTTAAGGACAGAAAAAGGACAGAAAAAGGACATAACTATGAATTTAATGGTTTGATTTACCTTAATGTAAAACGCTGCAGCATTATAGTGCTGTTTATAATGACAAACTTCAGTACAGTACCACGTACACTGCTGCTGTACCTGTTACTGTAATAAGCCGGGGTAAAGCTGTACTCTATGATGTAGGGTTAGGTGTATTATAGGTTTGCTTTTGGGGTCTTATGCTGAAAATTGTGAACCTCTTAATCCTCAGATTCCTCAACCCCTTAATCTAACCTACCCTTAACTGTACATAACATTTGCCTGTAGCAGTAGTATTATTAATGTCCCATTTGATAGGTGGTGTTGTAATCCCATTGCATTATTGGAACATTACACCATAACTAAATTGCAATACATCAGTATTATGATCTCACCATTTAGACAATAACACTTTTTTGCATATATGATGACTTTTCTTTAACAAGTTTTTATAATCAAAAGTTCTAGGACCTAAATTGAGAGAATACGATGGAACAAAACTGTCTCTCGGCTTTAGTAAAGTGAGCACACTCCAATTTCATAAGTGCTCTTAGATTTTTATTATGTCTCATTAAAAGAATGTACAAAATATTGAATGAAAAAAAAACTATCAATGTTACAGTAGCTATAGTACAAAACACAGAACCTAGAATGGCGGACTTGTATATCTAGGTAGTTTATGCAATTTCTTTTTTTTTTGTGAAGTAGGAGCTACTGTGGACATGTTTTTTTTTATTATTATTATTTGTAAAGAGTCTATGGGTTAGTTTCACCAAACTAAGACCTTGATTTAAAAAGTTGGTCAAATTATTAAATATTGTTAGAAAATCTTTTGAAATTATAGAGCTAAAAAAATTGCCATAGCCTTTAATTGTGATGTCTGTAGATAAAAAAAAATTGTAAAGTTTTCCTAACAGTATTGAATCATTTGCAAAGATTATTACAATGAGGCCTAAATTGGTTCCTAATCTGCCACAGCCAACTGTTTAGTGAATATATCCCTCTATACCAGTATTAATACTTGTGCTTCTTCTGCAGCTTAATTTTTTTTCCTTATTTCTTTAAAACCACACAATTGTTCCTTCCTGTCATAGGTTTAACACTCTACACCAAAATATGTTATCGTACTAATCTGTTTCCTGTCTCTCAAATTAAACAGCTGCAGACAAGCTGGGTACTAGCGTTATATGACTACAGAGCGCATACTTCTCAAGAGCTGGCTCTTTGCAGAGGGGAGGAGTATCTGCCGTTGGACAAGTCTGAACCCCATTGGTGGAAAGTAAAAGATAAGAATGGGTACATATTATATGCAGTGTGTTACCATCTAATATTGTACAAAATGCTTTGGGTAGCAACTGGATATATTTTTTTTTTTTTTAAACACACCTTTGGGGAAAGTATATTTGTAACCAACCCCAACCCCATATATTTAAAAACAGTAAAATCTACAATGATGAGTTAAACAGTTTTGAGGGACATGGCATGTCTGCACTCCCTGAATATGAATACAGGAAGATGGAGGGACTATAGTTTCCCATTATTAGCATTTGAAAGGCAACAAACAGAATACCTTGTCAGTTAGAGATCTTCCTTTTCTCTGTTGTTGCTCCTCATTATTCACATGGAAAACACAAGGCCATAGCACTGAATCTTTGAAATTTATTGATAACTTGAAATATGCTTATACTTTATCTGCTTCATTATGTGATGAGACTTAAAGAGGAGCTGTCTTTTTTTTTTTTTTTTTGGCATAATAAAGTTCTAATTTTGAACACATGCTGAGTTCCTTCTAAATGTCTTATTTGTAAGTTGCTGTTCTGTAACTGTAGCACTGTTCTGTTGGAGTTCCTTGATCTGGAACTTGCTTAATAACATTCTGATTGGCCCTTACTTCAGAATGAATAGCTGTAAGGTTTATTAATCACACTACATGACAGATTTGAAAATAAAATATATAAACCAAATTAGAAGATATAAAAATAAACTCTGACACACCATGACAGATCAGTTAAAATTTCACTGGAACTTGACTCCAAACACCTGCTGCTGCTGCTGCTGCTGCTGCTGCTGCTGCTGCTGCTGCTGCTGCTGCTGCTGCAATGAGGAGCCACCATGATGCTGTGAGTTCAGGGTAGTGTAAATTATAATGATACATGTTGCAGAGTTACACTATGTCTGCTCTTCTCTCAGTGCTGAGAAAGTGGAAATGGAGGATTACAATTACTAAAGATGACGATGTCCATTATTAATCTTTCCATTTTTATCTTTCCCTTTGCTTATTTTACATTTTTCTCAAGATTTAATATCAACCTGAGTAGGTTAAAGGGATTCTGTAGTGTTAAGAATATACAAAGTTGTATTCTTAACACTATAATGCCCTCTAGTCTCCACCCCTCCCTCTCGCACCTGCCTCCCATAGCACATAAAGGGTTTAAAAAAACCTTTATTTACTTATCTGATTGCAGTGCCGATGTACCTTAGCATAGGGTCGGTGCACCGCCTTCTCCGACTGGGGAACCTAATGCGCATTGCCTCAGTGCTTTCCTGTGGGGATTTCACTGACACTGGATGTCCTCATGCACAGCGTGAGGATGTGCTGCGTCACTTAGGGGACCCTGAGTCCAGGAAGCGCCTCTAGTGGCTGTCTGTTAGACTGTCAGTAGAGACTGTCTTAGACCTGCAATGTAAACATTGAGCTGAAGTGGTCTGTTAGCCTATAGTATCCCTTTAACAATAACCCAGATTGACAACCAAACTGAAGTGGATATTTAGCCACTTTGAATAAATAGTACAAATGTATGAAATTATTGTAAATTTTATGGCTCAAAGCACTTCTCTTTCTTCCTATGTGGCAATTAGAGTATAGTTTCAAATATAGATGATCAATGTCCCAAAAAATAATTGGGCCAGACAGACGCTGTTACAGCGACTCTAAAGTGTGTTATACCTCATTTAATAGCCAAAACCCAAAATATGGTATGCGGGATAATAGTTTGAGTTTTCTTGTATGCTAGACTGTGGATCCGTGGGTCAGTCGCACCCTTCAAAGTGCAGAAATAAATAAGCATGCTCACCACAGAAATTTGACCAAATCACTAAAATAAACGAAATGGTCACTAAACAAACTGTTTTGTTTGTTTCATGATTTAAAGTTTACTATCTAAAAAACAACAACTGTTAAGCTTGTGGTGGCTAGCCAGTGCTTGCTAGGCAGCTGCTAAATTAAAATGTAAAAATAATAACAAAGCGGAAGGACATTCTACTGTTAATCTCGCAATTGTGGTCTTTGGCTAGAGGGATTTTTAAAGAAAAATGGGGGTGAACTTGCCATTGTCCACCTCCTAGAAGTAAGTACCCTCTAATAATTTCCCTGAGTGACTAATGACCTCACAACAACAATCCTAATAATGATGAGGGTGTCCAATAACGTTAATCTATGTAAAATAAAAAATGTTTTACAGCACATCTTTTTTCTTAAATCTTTTTTTCTTGTCACGCAAAAGGCCAAATAAAAATCCATAATAACTGATACTACTATTACAAGTAAAACAAGAACAGAATTACAAAAAAAAACTACAGAAACAAACACACACAAAAAAAAATTAATCCAACTTCATCCAGCGAGGGCTTTGTAGGTGCGAAGTATAAAGGCATTCCCAATTTTTGAATGCTCATTAGGGACACTCTAATTGCTTGGCTTGTAAGCAATCTGAGCACTCTGGTGTGCTGGGACATAAGGGAGGTAAGCAAGGCTCATAGGCGCTTTTTTTTTTTTTGAGGAATCAATTCAGGCATACCAATATATATATAATTTTTTTTTTTTTTACCGTTGTGAGTGTAGTTTATTCTACTGTACTTTTACACATTGCTGTGCCCTTTAACATCTATAGGAGAAACTTGTAGTATAGTTTAAGGAGAAAAATATATCCATGCTTGGTATAGATTGCATATTTAGACTTTATTATACAAATATAAAGAAATAACCCACAACTCGCTACTTAATGCAATTATTTTTTTTGCCTCTGTGTGTGTGAGAGAGTGTATTTTACCTTAGATAGAGGAACAAACATTAACAACCACATCTTTCACTGATACAGGCACATAGGTTATGCTCCGAGTACCTTCCTAGCTGTGCAGAATGAAGACAGTCTGTTGACTTATGAGTAAGTACCTGCAAAAAAGCCACTAATATGCAGGATAGTATTTTAATCTCTACCATGGTTACTAATTTCTACTTTGGCAGATCATCTAAGCTTTGTTAATTATCTTAATTTGAATTACTTTTTGATGGATCGTTTGTTAAGACATTGCCATAATTGATGGAACAGACATAGAAATGAAGTTATTTTGTATTCTCTTGCCTTTAGATGGTACAACAGGGGTATCAACAGAAATCAAGCAGAAAAGCTCCTCGTTGAAAGAGTAAGCATGGTTTCTTATTTTTCTCTCTTAATAAAATAAATATTTTTCCATGTACTATCTGTGCATGTTAAGAACATTTTGGTTCACGTGCAAGATCTTTGCCCATGCTATGTTGTGGTTTTGCTGTGTATGTGCAGCTAACTGAAACTTGTGTGTGCTAAGAGTAAAATTGGGCGCTCCTCTGCAATCAGACCACAAAAACTTGAGGAATTATCAAAACTGATTGTGTGATAGTGGATGATGAGATGTACTGAATTAGCAAGGTGGGGTTTACATGTGCAGGCACACAGCAAACTAAAATACACTGCATTTATATTGATATCTGTATTTGTAAAATGTTGAGTGTTTCTTTTCTGTTGAATTATATTTGCATTTTTGAATGTTATTATCAATGTTTCCCTTATTGATTGGTGTTCTATCGTTCATTAGTTGTTGTTTTTTGTTGTTGTTTTTTTCTTTCTCACAGTTATTAGCTCCTGGATTGTTTCATTGTATTTTAACAGTTATGTTTGTGTTATATTAAATTTACCCCTTCATTTCCAGTTTTGAGCTTTTATCCAGCACTTTATTACCCTACTCCCACTGTTTTAAGTTAGAATACCCCTGTCGATATATATTATTTTATTAAATTTGTTCAAGTAAGCTTTCTATTTAGTTTTAAAACATTTCTTAATTATCTAATACGTGTAGCCTCTTAATATATATTAAACATGTAACAATTATATATTTACTGTAAATCAAAGATAGCATCATACTTTACAAATATTAAAATATATAGAAAAAACATGTAATATATCTTACATGTAACAAATACAACCTACCAATATATTTAATACATAAGAAATAGCACATTGGTGACTTGCTGCCATTATTTTCAATCATTTACTGTCATTTTTCTATAGTCTAACATGATATATTGTCTAATTATTATACCTAAGAATAGTGCAATTTTGACATCAAAATGTTAATTTCACTCTTTGTATAATTTCTTAATCTATGTAAAAGCGCTCTGGATAAGGGTACTATATATGAATTTGTTAAATAAATAAAGATTTGGTATTGATGAGAATCTTCCAACAATTTGTAAAGTATTAAAAAGTAGATCCATAAATGATATGGCTTTTCTGTTTGTTTAAAACAAACATTTTAAGTCAGTCAGTAAAAGTCAATGTCCTAGAGACAAATAAATCTGAGACCTTTATGTTGATAACTTCTGTGAGGTCCATACTAATTCTCATATGCCATATTATAGAAGCTTGGAACACCAGTGAATTGTTAGTTTTCTGCTAAAACTATTTCATTGTTTATTCAGGAACCTACAAAAAAAAAAAATGACTGTAAAGCAATAAATGATTAATTTTCATCTAAGAAAGAATTTCTGTTTAATACCCTTAGATAAGTATTTAGTGACTAATATATTGATACACTCTATCATTTACTGTTTACATGACTAGCACTGTTTATATTAAAACATGTTTTCCTAATCTAGTATATACATGTTTTAAAATATTTTTTTTGGGGGGGAGGATTTTGCTCATGTTGCTAACATCCTCATTCCTCGTCTTTCATACAGGGAGTAGAAGGAGCCTTCATGGTCCGAGATTCAAGACAAGCTGGAATGTACACAGTGTCGATCTTCACAAAAGCTTTTGGGTAACTCTTGTTTTATATTCCCATTTCAAATACCACAAAGAACATGGAGAACTTTTCTACTGTTTCTATTCTCCTCATCGCAAAGCTGTTATATTAAAAAGTTTCACCAAACAACATGTAAGGAGGCAAGCCCTACAATTGCAGAGCTAACCAGCAGTAAGCTATTGGGCTACACTGTCCTAGTGTGTTCTTTCATCCACTATCCATACCTAGTTTTAAAGCAGCAATCTATATCTCCAATGGCATACATAGCACTTTGTTTTGATGCTTGCCAATAGGTCCTAGATAGACTTATATTTCAGTACTTCCCTAAACTCTTTTTTCTTGTCAGTGAGAAAAATCAAGTCGTGAAACATTATCACATACGGGAAACAAATGATTCTCCACCCAAATATTACTTGGCTGAGAAATTTCTCTTCACTAACATTCCAGAACTTATTAATTACCATCAGCATAATGGAGGAGGTAAGTAGCCATGATATATGTGTATTTGACTGTATTTCATGTTCTCAGAGTACTTCTTTAAAGGAACACCCCATGCAGCATAATGACTAGAGAACACTACTGATTATGGTGCCAAGATTGCCCCATAATGATAAAACTATTAACTGTTAAACTGGGGTCTGCTGGGTGCCACTCCATGCCTCTAGAAGAGCTCCAGTCATGATCTAAGCCCAGGCTGATGTTCTCAGTCATTGAACTGACCCTCCACTGTAGGGCTTAGCTTAGGAAAGGTAATGGAAGCTCTCAGTAGGAACTTCTAGCTCTCTATAGCAGGAGAAAAGGGTCACCCAGTAGAGCCCATAAAGAAGTAAGGTCATTAAGAAATTAACCATTCTAGACTAAGTTTCTAAAAGTGAAACAATCAACCATAGCACCTATCCAATCTAGTGAGCCAGTAATGCAGAAAGAGGAGGAAAAATCCAACACATGCAGGTTGCATACCCCGGGAACAGATAGATAGACAGACAGACAAATTAGAATAACCCATTGTTTTCCATGGTGGCTACTTTTAGAACATTGTCCTAGAAATTCTCATTATAAGTCATCTCCGGCGTCTTTAAGTTCCACGTGTTGCAATAAATACATTGTTGTGTAATCACATGGCAGCTCTTTTTTAACATTAACACCTTTTAATATATTTTTAAAGTAGTAAAGTTTTAAAATACATTGCAGATTATTTCTACCTGTTTTCCCCATATGCTTGTATAATTTATTCAGGTTTGGTTACTCGACTTCGTTATCCTGTGTGTTCATGGAAGGAGACACTACCTGTTACTGCTGGATTGAGTTATGGTGAGTTTGTCAACAAGTGACACATGCTTTCAATTTACAGTTACCTGCAACATGATAAATCTCCGAATGTGTGTCACTGCATGAGTGCAACCCTTCTCTTCATTCAATTATTAAATGTACACCTTGCTTCCTAACTTAGGCACGCACTTCATTAACTATGCAATGTTGCTTTACTGTATGCATGGTATGGTCTTATTCACTAAATAATTGTGATTGTGGTAAGTTGACATAAATGTTGCAATCAGAAAAAAACCTGATTCAAAATAAAATTAATACTTCACATGTTTGATAGCCATTAAACTTAGGTTTGACAGTTTCTACAATTCTCTTAATTGTGATTTCTGTGTCTGTATTTAGGAAAATGGGAGATTGACCCTACCCTCCTGACTTTCATAGAGGATATTGGCAGTGGACAGTTTGGATTGGTCAAGGTTGCATTCTGGCAAGATATACAGAAGGTTGCAGTCAAGATGATTAAGGAAGGAATGATGTCAGAAGAAGACTTTGTAGAAGAAGCCCAGGTGTTGATGTAAGCTGTTTTTGCCGTTTAGGTAGCATAAAGGGAATAGTGTCATTAATGCCATAAAGAGATGGTTTTATTAGAGTCTACACAGATGGTTAACAGCAACTGGATGAATTCTTACAAAAACACAATATTCAGGTAATATTAAATAAATGGGATAACAGCTTCTTGATCCAAGGAGAAATCTAACTGCTATTCAGAGATTGAGAAGGATGTTTTCTAATTTATTTATTTTTGTAAAAATTCTTTATTTTTCAGTTTTGGTGCAACATTTTGATTTATACAGACCGTTAAAAAGTCGAGGTTCTGTGTCGTTCGTGGTTTGCACCATTTTGGGTTGAGCCATAACAATTTCTTGAACAACAGTAACATGTTAAACAAAACATATTGATCAGTACTTAGGAGGATGTTTTCTAATTTGTTGCAAAATTGGAAAGCTCTTTGAACTGGGATGTGAGAAAGGCTGAACTTAATAGACACGTCTTTTTTTCAGCCTGCATAGCTGTGTAACTACGTAATACACACGTTCTAAGAATTTAAGTATACTTTTTATGAGACCTTCCAATTTGAGAAGCCTGAAACAGTTAGCTTTGACTCATTACAAATTATTTGCACTTTCATTGTTTCATGCTAAGCATAATCTGTGTTTCATACTGAGCACTGCAAGTGTTCATTACAGTTGTCCTTAAACGTTTTAGGGACTTGTACCTAAAATATGTGTAAAACATGCTATTTTCACTTTCTGCATTATAACATGTTTCTAAATCATGGAGGTCATCGGTTACTCTTTTAAGCAGGTACTTTAGCAGTGTTTTAGGTACTTGTTTTGGCAACGTACATTTGTAAGTTCAGTATGACTGGGGTTTTTAACGCCTTTCATCTCCCTCTTTCCCTGTGGTTTATCTTCTCCCTTTGTTACTTTCCAGGAAACTTTCTCACCCTAAACTGGTGCAGTTTCTGGGTGTCTGCAGTCAGCAACATCCCCTATTTTTGGTTTTCGAGTTCATGGAACATGGTTGTCTGAGTGAATACCTTCGCAGGAACCGGGGCTCGCTTTGTCGGGGAATGGCTTTGGAGATGTGTCAAGATGTATGTGAGGGGATGGAATATTTAGAAAAATCAAATTTTATCCATAGGGACCTGGTAAGCTGCACACTTCATTTTGTATAATTGTCACATACATTTCAGTCATTTACATGCCCATGGAATAATTTCAAAATCTTGTCCACAGGCAGCACGTAACTGTCTGGTTGGGGAGTCATTGGTCGTGAAGGTTTCAGATTTTGGAATGACCAGGTGAGTTACCATTAAGAAGCTCAGAGCCTCCAGCTTGGGTATGTACAGCACATTGCTTTAGGGTATGCAATTAGAGAAAATCGCAATTTAAATTATTTTTATTTATTTTTTTAAATACCAACTTAAAAATGAGGTACAAAATACGTGTACACGCTAATGATAACTAGGGATATACAGAAAAATGGAAGAGGGAGCACAATTTTTTTTTTTTGGTTAATCATTGTTTTTTATTGTAGGAAAATAAGCAATTATTTAGGCACGCAGGCCTTCTGACATTGTTACAGCATAGAATATACATCACAATATTATGTCAAACATACCGGTAAAAGTTACATTCAGCTTTGTTATACCGTAAGTGTAAGTGTTTAATTGTGTCAACTTTGCTCAGCGTAGGTTGTCACATTGTTGCAATGAGTAGCTGACTGCATTTCCGCCTGGGCCCTTCGTATTTAAGATTAATGGTGCGTGTGTTAACATCCCTTAGTGCCTTAAAGGTGCGTATTTATAGGTGTTATACCTTGTTAAGATTTGTATGTGTGTTTGTGAGAGTGTGGAGGGGTGTTTTAGTTTGTGTAAGTGGGTAGGAGGGTTCATGCTTAAATGGGGTGTAATACTTCGGTTTCGTGTAGTGTGGTGCATTGTGTTGCGTGTGTCGATTGGGGCAGGGAGTGTGGGTTCTCCGAGGTTCCTCTCGGATGGAGTGAAAGTTTGCCGTATGTGTGGAGGGAGCACAATTTTAACGCCGCGTTATGGTGTGCATTGGCTCACCTAGCACACCTATTGTGCACACTCATGTCCTACAGAATAATTAAGCCATTTAAAAAAACTTTCAAGGTGATTTGTAATTTTTGTGAACTTTACACCAGTATGTCTGTTAAACTTTAATGTCTTTACCAAAGTGGTTAAATTCTAGCTCTCCGGATTACATAGTTGCATAGTTACTAGGCTGAAAAGAGACATGTTTCCATCAAGTTCAGCCTTCCTCACATTTGGTTTTTGCTGTTGATCCAAAAGAAGTAAAAAAAAAACCCAGTTTAAAGCACTTCCAATTTTGCAACAAAGTAGGGGAAAAAAATCTTTCTTGACCTGAGAATGGCAGTCAGATGTATCCTGAAAAATTATATCCCTTTCTCTCATTACTAAAATATCCCTATCCTTCTGCTCACCTGTCCCTGGCAACACCAACTTAATTACTTCCACTTTACTACCCTCCCCTCAATATTCATCGAATGCACTCTACAGATACCTTTCCAGCTTATCTACACCAACTCCTCCCAAATCCTCTATATACATACCCTCCTACAAAACTTTGAAATCCTACTCCCACCTCCACTTCCTTTCTATCCTTTTGCTCCTAGCAGCTGGTGATGTCTCTCCAAACCCCGGTCCCATCTCTGCAAACTCACCACATACTAACCCATGGATCCACACTAATCTCATACCCATCTCATGTTCCTCTAAATCCTCCTTAAATACTGCCCTCTGGAATGGACACTCTGTTTGCAATATTACAAAATCCACTGCTGTCCATGACTTCTTAATCTCTTGTTCAATAGATTTACTAGTCTTAACAGAAACATAGCTCTCCCCCTCTGACACTGCTACCCCTGCATCTTTGTCCTTTGGTGGTCTTCAATTTACCCACAACCCAAGAAACTCTGAATGTAAAGATGGTGGTCTTCCCTTTAACCACAACCCAAGAAACTATGAATGTAGGGTTTCTCCTCTCCCCTCACTGCTCCTTTAAACCTCTACCCACCCTCCCTTCCGTCTCTTTCCCATCATTTGAAATACATTCAATTCACCTTTACAAACCCTTCTCTGCTAACATTGCCGTTATTTATTGTCCCCCTGGTTCCCCTCTCATCTTCCTTGACCACTTTGCTGCCTGGCTACCCTATTATTCCATCCCCAATTCTCGGGTACTTCAATATTCCCAATTCTCGGGGACTTCAATATTCCCACCTTTGACCTCTGCAGCCTCTAAACTACTCTAAATTACTTCCTTCCTCGGTCTATCACAGTGGGCTAATTCTCCCACCCATGTAGCTGGCAATACTCTTGACCTAATATTCTCTTATGCATGTACAGTATCTAATATCTGCAACACTCCATTTCCTCTCTCTGATCACCACCTCTTATCATTTACTCTCATGCACCCGCTCACCGACAACCTCAGCTTAACCCCCCTCAACTCAGGAGGGACCTTAATTCTATTGACCTCCAGCAGCTGTCAGCTGATATTGATTCACAACTGCTATCCATCCCTTCCCTCTCCTGTCCTTCACTGGCCATCTCCACATATAACGCTACCCTCACCTCTGCCTTGAACACTGCAGCACCACTCTAAACAAGCACCTCAAGGAGGACACGCCCCCAACCATGGCATACTAAATCAACACGCTACCTGCAAAGATGCTCCTGTTGTGCTGAACGCTCCTGGAGGAAGTCTCGCACTCAGTCAGACTTTCTCCATTATAGATTCATACTGTGTTCATACAGCGCAGCCCTTGCCCTCGCCAAACAGTCCTACTTTTCTTCTCTCATTAGTTCATGCTCCCGCAATCACAGGCGTCTCTTTGACACCTTTAATTCTCTTCTTCGCCCTGCCGTGGCCACCCCCCAAACTAACTGCCGATAGCTTTGCATGTTACTTTACCGACAAGATCAAACAGCTAAGGAAAGAATTTTCCCCTCCTTGCCATTCTCTTCCTCAACCACACATAGATCATGCCTTTCCTACCCTTCAGACGTTCTCCCTGGCTACTGACCAAGAGGTGGCTGCTCTTCTCCTTTCCTCTCGCCCCAGCACTTGCCCGCTCGATCCTGTCCCATCTCACCTTATTAGATCTCTCTCCACTTGTCTCGTGCCTTCCTTAACGCACATCTTCAACTGCTCTCTCTCTTCTGGCTTTGTCCCTGCTGACCTTAAACATGCCACTGTAGTACCTATCCTGAAAAAAACATCTCTTGACCCATCCTCCCTCTCTAACTATCGTCCTATATCCCTGCTCCCTTTTTCCTCAAAGCTCCTGGAAAGACTTGTCTTTCCCCGTGTGTCTCATTTCCTCAATTCCAACTGTCTTCTTGACCCTCTTCAATCTGGCTTCTGCCCTCTCCACTCTACTGAGACTGCGCTTATCAAAGTTACTAATGACCTAATCGCAGCTAAATCCAAAGGTCACTACTCCATACTAATTCTTCTTGACCTCTCTGCTGCCTTTGACACAGTTGATCATGCTCTCCTTCTTCAAACTCTTCAATCACTCGGTCTCTGTGACTCTGTCCTCTCGTGGTTTTCCTCTTATCTCTCCCAACGCTCATTCAGTGTCTCCTTTTCTAATGACACCTCCTCCCCTCGTCCTGTCTTGGTTGGAGTCCCCCAAGGCTCTGTACTTGGTCTCCTTCTATTTTCTCTTTGTACTGCCTCTCATGGCAAACTTATTACCTCTTTTGGTTTCCACTATCATCTGTACACTGATGACAACCAGATATATCTCTCCTCCCCGGACCTCTCTCCTGCCGTCCTGCAACGTGTCACTGCTTGCCTTTCTTCCATCTCTGACTGGATGTCCTCCCGCTTTCTGAAACTCAATCTCTCTAAAACTGAGCTCCTTGTCTTTCCTCCTTCTAATACTGATCCTCCTCCTTCGCTCTCCCTTCAAGTTAGTGGTTCCCACATAAGTCCATCCTTGCAAGCGTGCTGTCTTGGTGTCATACTTGATTCTGGCCTCACATTTGAGCCTCACATTTAGTATGTTGCCAAATCCTGTAGATTCCATCTTAAAAACATTTACCAGACAAATCCCACAGAGATTGCCAAAGTGATTACAGGTTTTTACACCGAACTATATAACCACTCGAGAGGTGCAACCACGAACCCACAACAGGAACTGAATGGGGTACGAGATTTCCTCTCTCGGGTACCTCTCCCAAAACTGGGTGAGGCGGATGTGGCAATACTCGGGAATCAGATCTCAGTGGAGCAAATAGATGCAGCAATTTCGGCCCTGAAAAGCAATAATGCACCTGGCCCAGATGGCTTAGACGGAAGCTACTATAAGATATTTAGAGAAGAACTCCTGCCCCCTTGAGTACTCACACTTTGAATGAAGTGCTGGAGGGTATAGAATGGCAGGAAATATGGGAGGCGGCAGCAACATCTTCAGTGTGCGTTACAGGAACAATCATATAAGACCTTGTTTCGGTGGTATACCACCCCAGTGACGCTGTGCCGCATGCGTAAAAACCCAACAGACTTGTGCTGGAGGTGCTGCGGACATAAGGGTACGTATATTCATATGTGGTGGGAATGTCCAGTGGTGCAGATATACTGGAAAAGGATCGCAGCATTGTTGCGAGAAGTGTTAAGCAGGGATGTGAAGCTAGACCCATGGGTGTTCCTATTGTCAAGATCCATGGATGATTGGACAAGAACGGAACAAAACCACCTTCAAAAAATAAACCTTGCCGCCAGACGAGCTCTAGCGCAGGTATGGCTACAGAGGAACACTCCTACGATAGCAATAAATAAAACATAACATAAAGGATACCTTTTTAATGGACAAATTGACAGCTCAGGTCAGAGGGACTACGAAGAAATTTGTTCCCTTGGATCAATAGTACAGTAAGTGACTAAAACAGCAGACTGGACCAAAAACATAAACCACACAACTGTACCACTCAGGGCACTGAAGAGACAAGTTACAGACCGCTTCACCTAAACCCATCTCTCTTTTAGGGAAACTTAGGGGATGCCTAGGATAGATGAAGTCGGTAAGGCAATGCAATCCTTACGACACTTATCGTTCGACGGCTCCCCCTGGACTCCCTGCCCCCCTTTTCATGCCTCCCATGTTCACCTGTGACTACTTCTCTCTACTTCCTCGGACCCTCGAGAACGCTCTTTCTTTTTCTGGTTCCAATCTTTTGAACCATCTTTCATTTTCCTTACAATTGTAAGATAGTGCACAACGGGACTATCAAGGGTATACAGTAAAGCTAGAGAAACAAGTGCGAATATGTATAGTACCCCTAACTGTTCTCAGTGCAAGCTACAGCACGGTAGTTACATGTTTTATTTTACTACAAAAACACCAAGTAGGATGTCTTGAGATACTTAAAGGAGTTAATCACACCTTGGAAAATCCAGGCAAAAACGCATTTCATGATTGCGAATTCTGTAATATGTAAAAATTAGAATGTGCACTCATGCAGATAATGTTGTAAGCCGAAAACTGCTGCGTATATGCCTATTTTGAAAGTGTATTGATATTGTTATGTGTGCTATGTATAAGTTGTCCTGCTTTGGAACACCAGACTGATTTTCCTCTCTAATGGTTTCTCTCACACCTCACCCCTCTGTCAGGCCCTACATTGGCTTCCTGTATGCTATAGGAGTCAATTCAAGGTACTAATTCACACCTATAAAGCACTGAACAACTCTAGCCCCTCCTATATCTCTTCACAGATCCATAGGTATGTCCCTTCTCGGTCTCTCCGCTCAGCTCGTGACCACCTCCTGTCCGTTGTTCGCACCCGTACGGCCAACTCACACTTGCAGGACTTCTCACGGGTGGCTCCCTTCCTATGGAATAGCCTACCTACTGCCATCAGACTCTCCCCTAGTCTTGCATCTTTTAAGAAGTGCCTTAAAACCCATCTCTTTACGAACGCTTATGGCCTCCCAGACTAACCTCTACCTCACATACCTGTCTCTTGTGCTCTCCTAAAGGGCAGCACTCTACTCTCTCCTCCAGCTCTGCTTTACTCCTACCATATTTGATATTTCCTGTCCTATTGTGTTTTACACCCCACATCCTATAGATTGTAAGCTCGTTTGAGCAGGGTCCCCTCCAACCTATCGTGCCTGTAAGTTTTTTGTAATTGTCCTATTTATATTTGAATCCCCTCTCATAATATTGTAAAGCGCTACGGAATCTGTTGGCGCTATATAAATGGTAATAATAATAATAATATCCTTGAATATTCTGTTTTTGCAAGTATGCATCTAGTTGCTGTTTAAACATCTGTACAGACTCTAATAAAACCACTTCTTCAGCCTTAGACTAAATCTTCTTTCTTCCAGTCTAAATGCATGACCTTGTGTCCTATGTAAAGTCCTGTTGGTGAATAGATTTCCACACAATGGTTTGTATTGGCCCCGAATATCTTTGTATAATGTTATCATTACCCCTCTGAGGCGATGTTTTTCTAAACTAAAGAGTTTTAAATTTGTTAACCTTTCTTCATAGCTAAAATGTTCCATTTCTTTTATTAATTTTGTAGCCGGCCTCTGCACTCTTTCTAGTGCCATAATATCCTTTTTTAGAACAGGTGCCCAAAATTGCACAGCATATTCAAGATGTGGTCTTACCAGCGATTTATATTCTCATCCTGAGAATTAATGCCCTTTTTCATGCATGACAATTCCTTACTGGCCTTAGCCACTGCCGACTGACATTGCACATTGTTGCAAAGTTTGTTGTCTATAACATTTCCCAAGTCCTTCTCATGTGTTGTTATCAGGGGCGTACCTAGAGCATTTGGCACCCGGGGCGGATCCTGTGCTTGCAGGGACAGGCTCTAGACACCAGAACCACTACATTAAGCTGAAGTGGTTCTGGGGACTATAGTGTTTCTTTAATGTGAGGTAAATTAGAGCTTAGTGCCACGAATAATATACTAGATTGCCTACTTACAACCAGATGAGGATGATGATGGGCTCTAGCTGCAGTCTGGCTCCACTGGTCTGGTACAGAACAGGCTCTCTGGAGGCGGTTTGTAACTGTGGTCACAAAAATCAATGTTCTGGGAGAACGGGAAGCAGCTCCATTTTTTGGGGGTCCTTTACACAGCTCAAGGTCTGGGTCCCAGGGTCCACCTTCATGTTCCACCAATGAGTTTGTTCACAGGGGGTGGAGTGTGTAGGGGATGTCCTGATATGTGTGTAAGGAATGCATTGTGTGAAATTGTGTTTGTATGTGTAAGGGCTGCAAGGTGTGTTTCTGTGTATGTATGGGATGCATTGAATGTGTGTAAGGGGTGCATTGAGTGTGTGTAATGAATGCATTGTGTGTTTCTGTGTGTGTAAGGGATGCATTGTGTGTAACGGTTGCATTGCTTGTGTATGTGTGTCTGTGTGTGTAATGCATTGTGTGTTTTTCTGTGTGCAAGGGGTGCATTGTATGTATGTGATGAATGTCAATCTCTCCTCCCGCTCCAATTTCCTTCTCCTCCTCCCAATTTCTCTTTCTCAACCCCCCTCCTAATTTCTCTTTCCCCCTCCTAATATCTCTTCCCCCCTCCTAATTTCAATTTCTCACCCCCCCCTCCTAATTTCTCTTTCTCAGCCCCTTTCCTAATTTCTCTTTCTCAGCCTCTTTCCTAATTTCTCTTTCCCCCCCCTCTCCTTTCTCTTTCTCTCCCCCCCTCCTTTCCCTTTCTCTCCCCCCCTCCTTTCTCTTTCTCTCCCCCCTCCTTTCTCTTTCTCCCCTCCTTTCTCCCCTTTCTCCTCTTTTTCTCACCCCCTCTATTTTCTCCCCCCTTCTCCTCTTTTCTCACCCCCTTTCTCTCCCCCTTTCTCCTCTCTCTTTCTCTCACACCCCTTTTCTCTCTCTCCTCTCTTTCTCCCTCCTCACCTCCCTTTCTTCTCTTTTCTCTCAACCCCTTCTCCTTCTCACCCCCTCTTTCTCCTTCTCACCCCTTCTCCTCTTTTCTCACCCTTCTCCTTTCTCCTTCTCATCCTTTCTCCTCTTCTTTCTCTCACCCCTTTCTCCTCTTCTTTTCTCACCCTCTCTCTCTCTTTTCTCACCTCTCTTTTCTGCTAATCTCTTTCCTCTTTTTCTCTCACCCCCTTCTCTCCTCTTTCTCACCCCCTTTTCTCCTCTTCTTCTCATCCCCCTTTCTCCTCTCACCCTCTCATCTTACAGCCTCAGCAGCTGGGCAGCCTGTACCCGGCCGGACTAACAGGAAGTGCACACTCAGTGTGCACTTCCTGTTAGTCCGGCCGGGTACAGGAGACAGCTGCTCTCTGTATCCGTCGGACCAGCATGCTGCAGGGCTCGGCCACGCTACAGCAAAGGAAGCTGACAGGAGGGATCGCTGAACGCTTCCCTTCTGTCAGCCCCCTTTCTCAGGCTGCACCCGGGCGGTGCGGTCCGCCCTCATGGACGCACCGCCCGGGCAAAGCTGCAGCCGCCTGAGGCTCTCTACAGAGCGCTCGGGCGGCTGCAGCATGGGGGGGGGCGGCAGGGCTGGTCATTGCACCCCCCATCCTGGTGGCACCCGGGGCGGACTGCCCCCTCCCCGCCCCCCCCTTAGTACGCCACTGGTTGTTATCACTAATTCGCTTCCATTAAGGGTATAAGTGGTTTGTGCATGCTTTACACCAAAGTGCATAACTTTGCATTTTTATACATTAAATTTCATCTGCCATTTGAGTGCCCAGTCCCCCAGTCTAAATCCCTATCCCCAGATCTAAATCCCTATTCAGCAAAGTAATATCTTGCTCACATTGTATCACTTTACAGAGTTTTGTGTCATGTGCAAACACAGAAACATGACTTTCAATGCTTTTTTCATGATCATTTATAAACATGTTAAATAGAAGGGGTCCCAGAACAGAACAGAGGGACACTTCTTGCCACCTCTGTCCAGCTTGAAAATGTACCATTAATGACAAAAATTATGTTAATGATCTACAAATTCCATTAGCCTTGCTAAGTGCGTGCTAAAGTCCAAAACATATAATTAACTAAGTAGAAGTGCTATACCAAGAGAACTGAAATATTTTTTATGGTAGAAAAGTCAGAAAAATAAATTGCTGTATGCTATTCAAGGGGTCCATAATAGCCATATGAGGAACTACAGGTGCGTTATAAATAGCTCACAATCTCACCCTACTCAATCTTTCACAGGTTTGTTCTTGATGATCAGTACACAAGCTCCACCGGAACCAAGTTCCCTGTGAAATGGTCTGCTCCAGAAGTATTCCGATATGGACGCTACAGCAGTAAATCTGACGTGTGGTCTTTTGGTATGAATTTAACATTTCCCTTAATTAAAGTGGCACTGTCACCATCTGGGGACTTTGCAAAATTCGCAAAGACCCTCAATGGTGGCATCACGACTGGGGGTCTGGTGGGGGCAGGTTAAGGTGAATTCCACTTACATGAATCTGTCCCTCATGGGTGCAGACATTCTGTTTTGGTGGGTCCTCTTCAGCTCATGCTGGTTCAGCGACAAGAGTCAACGTCATTGCTGTACAGCATTGAGGTCTAATAGGATCCCGCAAGATGGCGGGATCCTTCATAGCCAAAGTCAATCCCTGCTGGCATCACTGGTGAGGCTGGGAAATTGTTATTTCCAGGGGCGGACTGACCACCAGATCAGTCATGGACCGAGGGCCCGAAGCAGTCAGGGGCACGGCTGGTTGCACAAACATGCTCTGGCTGGGGAGATCAGATCAGAGATCTCCCCAGCCAGAAACCCATAATTGTACAAATTCCATTACTCCAATTGTCCCCCTTCTGCCTCCCCTCCACACCCACCTTCTCAGTGAGACCTGGTAGTGATCCTGCTGCTCCTGCCAGGTCTCCTTCATGTTGTGGCTGTGCGGAGCACAGTGAGATGGGAAGAGGCAAGGCCCGGGCTCTCCTGGCCCCCGCCTCTTTTCTCCTCACACAGGAGCTCCACTTCCTGTCCTGTCCTTTCCTCCAGAATCAGCTTAAGCCTGACAGACAGGTATGTAAATATTTTTTTTAAGCTTTTGTGTCCACTATACCCATTCCAGTTCCTGTGCCCCCTTTACCATCCCAGTAACTGTGCCCACTTTACCCAACCCAGCACCTGTGCCCACTATACCCATTCCAACCCCTGTGCATCCTTTACCATCCCAGTTCTTGTGCCCCACTTTACCCATTCCAGCCCCCTTGCCCCACTTTACCTATCTCAGCCAGTGTGCCCACTTTACTTATTCCAACCCCATGTGCCCACTTTACCCAGCCCCCTTTACCCCATCCCAAACTCTGTTTCACCCTTTCCCTATCCCAGACTCTGTGCCCCCTTCCCCATCCCAGACCCTCTTTTACCTATCACAGCCCCTGTGTCGCCCCTTTACGCATGCCAGCCCCCGTGCCCTCCCTTTAACCATCCCAGCTTCTGTGTCCCCTCACCCATCCCAGCCCCTGTGCCCCCCTTTACCCAGCCCCTGTGCCCCCTCTACCCATCCCAGCCCCTACGCCCCCCTTTCACTCATCCCAGCCTATATGCCTCCTTCAAACATCCAAGACACTATGGCCCTCTTTACCCATCCCAGACCATATACCCCCATCCCAGACCATCTGAACACTTATGCCCCCCTTCAGCCATCCCAGGCCCTATGCCCCCCTTTACCAATCATAGTCACTATGCCCCATTCACCCACCACAGCCCCTATGCCTCCCTTCACCCACCACAGCCCCTATGCCCCTTTATCCATCTGAGCCCATTTTCCCCCCTTCACCCACCACAGCCCATATGCCCCCTTTACCGATCTGAGCCCCTAAGCCACCTTTAACATCCCAGACCCCATGCCCCCTTCACCCACAACAGCTCTATCGCTCATTCATATCCCTTACCTGTACCTACCACAGCTTCTATGCCTTTTTGCACACTCCTCAGCCTCTTTCTCTCCTTGTACCAACCTCACCCCATGCCTTCCTGCACCCACTACAGCCCCCATCCCTCTCATCCCTATCCCTCACTGGACCCACTACAGCACCTATACTTCCAAGCCCCATTCCACCCCTACCACTCCTGCTCCCACTACAGCCACTATCCCTCCTGCATGCAAACACTACCATTCTTCTGCCAATAGGTAAAACAAGACAAACAATTAATTCTAATTCAACATGTTGACATACAGGAACACATCACAAGTAGCATCCCAGTCACGCAACCACGCAAGTAGCCTCCCAACACATGTTTGGAGGATACTTGTATGGTCGAACATGTGGGGGATGCTGCTTGTGATGTCACTAACAAACACAGAGGAAGGGTGTAATTAAATTTGCTTCATTTCTTTATTTTGAATGCGAGGGCATTAGGCATGCTTGTAAGGGTTACTCCATTCAAAAACAGTGTTTTATTAAAACACTGTTTTTGGTTGGATTAACCCCTTAGAGTATATCTTGCCGTGTTTGGGGGGGCCTGCTGGCGTGGAAGTCTTGCCGTACACAGCCATGCTGAGTAGCGCAAACATAATATCTGTGTGAGAGCTGCACAAAGACCTTGCACCAGGAAGGTTACTTCTAAACGATGGTAGCTCCGCTCAGTGTCTAGAAGTGTCAGGCAAAGGAAGTATTCAGAGACAAAGTCCCTCAGTATATCACTTGACTGGTTAGGAATTTCAGTGAAATTCCAACACAGTCAAAATGAGTATCTCATAAAAAATTTATTTTTCTGAAATTTTCTTCATGGGGGAGGGGAGTGACAGTGCCTCTATAAAGTTCTTCACAATCAACAACAATGTATAGGATCTCTTTTCATCAGTCTTTTGAGGAGTATAACTGCTATCTCTAGATACATGTGTGAAGGTAGTGGGGACAGTGTAGGAGGGTACACTTTCACTTACGATAACTTACCCTTAATAACCTGACGCAAGACGTAAGTGGTGACAACAGGCCACAGCTTTATTTAAAACAATAAACATTATCAACATAACATATTAATATAATATATCCAATAACAGTAACTTTTCATCACTGGATCCTTACCAACCGTCTACATTAACATGGGCGCTTGCCTCCCCCCTCCCCCTGGCCTTCCAATACCATCCATGCAAACCACTGGCTTTGGTTCAGTGGGCACGTCCTTTACCCATACCTGAAACCCGAGGCTAGGGGAGGGATCAGGCCTGAACCTTTTCCACTGGACCACTGGTCCAACCCTGATTGGCAAGGACCTTCATCCTCTTGCTGTGACAAGAAAAAAAAAAATTGCATTTAAAGAGAACACCATAACAGAAACATAACAAGGGAGGGTGGTCTAGAAGCTGTTCCTAAGCCGGATAATTAAGATGGTTGGGAGATAAAAGGAAATGGCTCCCCCTATATACATGGACACCCCCCTTTTAACCTCTAGCTCCTCCCCCTACTTACAGGACTTCCTTTCCTTGAACTTTCTACACTCCCCCTCACTCACACATGTCCCTGTTCCCAGCTAACACCTTTGGTTTGCCTCCTCAGGGTCTAAAATTAAATAATAAAAATATGGTTATGCACAGTCATTTGTCTTTCAGACAAACCCTACTTGAGTAAGGGCTACAAAAACAAATTAGAAATAAACAAGCTATGAAGGCCATCACACAGATTAAATTAGTAGAGGTCTAAAGGATATATTTGATGTTGTAATTTGCAAACCTATATTCCTGAGGCTATAGTGCCCCTCTCCCTAGCTCTAAAAAAGTGCAAGTTTTACATTGCAAGGTCAAAAGGACAGGACCGCTGTCATTGCGATAAAGTGATATGGGTGACTATAGTATCCCTTTAAGCACCACATTGAGGCTTGCTATATAGTTCAAAAGAAAGAAAGAGAACTCTGAGAATGGACAAAATCTTAGAGGAAACTCAATAGCTTGCCCTTCGATACATCCCCGCTGTTTAGCTCCCTCTAACATATTTTATATTAACAAACTGCTAATGGTGCAGTCTCCTTGTATAAACCTTGTATAAAGTCTTTGTTTTGCAGACCCTAGTTTATAAATCTAGTGTTCCTGCTCCAAACTCTGGAATGCTGGACATTGTGTGGGAGATATTATTACTGTCAATTCCCAGGCCGTGCAGCTAACGGATGATAATTGCCTCCAATAATATAGAGCAAAGCAGTAAAGTACATTCTTTGACTACCGGCAAAACTGATGAGTCCCTGTGGCAACTGATCTTGATACAAATATTTTAGTGAGATTTTGCATACTTTTTGTAAAGTAATACCATGTACCTAATTGATATATCACAAAGAAATAGATTGGGGATGATCACATGTTTGGCATGACTTATGTTAGTAAGCATATCTGCTTTGCCCTCACCTTCATATTAGTGAATTTAAATGTACAGAGCCCTTTTCACAGATCTTGATTATGGGGTGTAAATTAATAATTGTAATATCATGATATTATTATTTTCAAGCATATTGATATGCTGTATACTAGTACTTTTTTATACAAATTTTACCCTTTGATCTATTCCCCCCAGTTATAATAAATCATTCTGTAAGAAGTGACCAGTTAGTGTGGATTCTTGGGTAGGTTGAGTATTCCTCAGCTTTACAAAAGAGGATGGCTTGGGAAAAACAAATACTTGCATTGTTACAGCTAGATGTTAGTCTGACATTCTCCTTTTTATTATATTTTATATCAAAAGCCAAAAGTTTAATCATACATTTCTTACACCATGACACGTAGCCAGTCAGTTAGCAGGATAAGTGTTATGGGTAAGCAGTTGAGGATAGTCTGTAGGGGCAGATGGAGCAGCATCTCCCTTCCCCGGTTTACAATAAAAGAAAATGGAATATGTTGTTCAATCGGCTCTAAAAGAATTTCTGATGTCACCCATTGGTTTTGCATGGGGCTGTTGGATCCTTGTACCCTAGAAGTCAGAGGCATTTTTCTGTCTGCTAGGGCTGTGGATGCTGCCAGACCTATTTACAGTGAATGCTATTTTCCATATACATACGGTTAAGTGATGGGGTGAACTAAGCTACAGGGCAATGTCACATTCTGGGGGTAGAGTTTAATACTCCACCATCTTTAAATGTAATTAGCTGTCACTTTGGGAAAGGCAGTCTAGAAGAGTTGGAGTGCTAAGTGTTAGCTTTTATTGCTCTGTAGCATTGGCATTGTCCTGCATATCAGACTTTACATCATATTCATTTGAAGGCGTACAATCATAAAACTATGCATGGCGGTTATATCTAATAGAAGATATCCAATTACATAAATGAGATACAATTAGTCATCCAAATCCTCCTGTTTTACATTTTTCATATAGGATAGTATATGAGTATATTTCATTGGTTGTTAATTTGCACACCTATTACGAAATCACTTCAGTGTACCAAAAGAATAAGATCTAATTGTCAACAATATTAAAAGAAAACGTTAGTGTTGGGAATACAAAGATGTATTCTTAATTTTGAAGCGTCCCTCTTTTTACATCTTGGTTATGTATCAACTCAATCAAATTCACAGAGTACCAAAAATACATGTGCGTCAACCTTTCTTGTCTCTCTTCACCAGTTAACCTGTGTACTTGACTCTAAATATAGCTCTCTATGTCTTGAAAGGTGTGCTAGCTTGGGAAATTTTCAGCGAGGGCAAGACACCCTTTGAGCATCTTAGCAACTCGGATGCTGTAGAAGAAATATCAGCTGGTCTGAGACTCTTCAAACCCAAGATGGCTAATGAGAAGGTGTACAAACTAATGAACAACTGTTGGGAAGAGGTAAGGCTAGATCTAATAAGTATACTGTTGTAAAGTATACTGGGCCCTTTGCAACATTGCTGCAAGCAAACACAAAATCATATTGCATAGATATATTTTAAAGGATAATGGTGCCTTTACAAACTAATAGTGACTCTTTGACTTGATGTTTTCTTAGAAAGCAGAACTACGGCCCACATTCTCCAGCCTGATGAGAGAAATCGCAGAAATTATAGAATGTGAATTGTGACGTACCATCCGAGATTGAAGAACAGTGATACATCTAAATATTTATATTTTTATTCAGAGTGCTTGGTGCAAGAAAAAAAAGCATTAAGAAGCTTGGAAAAAAGTAATGTTTTAGTAATGTGAGTGTGACATTTGATAATCGAGCAGGAGCTGGATAGAACTACATCCCAGTGGCTTTGTGAAGACTTACTGAGAAATTGAGCTTGTCTTCACTTTGAGATATCAGAGCTGTATGGAGTAAAGCACATGTAAAATCAATAGAACAGTGCATCGTGTTGCAAGTAAAGTTTTCATCTATGAAAACTAACAGTAAACACCAAGGAGGTGTTTTACTGTGTTATCAAGATGAAGTAATGCTAAACTCGTGTTATCTCCATTGAAGTCTTGTAGTCTTTGCTATTTCGTAATGTCGCAAGAACTTATTTGGAGAATTGTCACAATTTTTACATGCAAGTTTTACTGTCATAATGATTTTCCTTTAAAGTCAGTGAGAACTCAAGGTTTGCAGACATATGCGGTCACAGTCTAACCAAAGGAATGAATCCTGGGAAAATATGCTGCATGTGAATTAATTTTTATTTTAAAATGCTGTCTCTGCTTTATCAGAAGTCAATAGCAACATCATAGAACCAGGGGCAATCAAGGATGGAAAAGTTGCACATATGCATTTAAAAAAACAAAACAAAAACTATATCACAACCATAATAGAAATTACAATTTGATTCCTGTGTTGAATAACCCCGCAATTGGGTTAAGTTCTTTTGAGCAGAAGCTATTACAGCTCTGCGTACAGGCATGTGGCTTCCATTCTTTCTGTGCAGGGAAAGAATGGGCATATGCATGTGGACACATGAGCAGACTGGTCACAACCGAAGTCTATGTTTTCTCTTAGAGATACTTAAATGGTGACTGATTTTACTTCCTACAAATAATATTAGTAACCTGGCATGAAAAACAATATTTATTTAGGGGCATCGGGGCAATAATGGATTATGAAAGGACATTTTTCCAGCTCTTGAGAGACCACAAACCTTAGGATTCTAGGCCAGTCGCACTAAAAATAGTTGCCAAGATGTTCAGTCCAATTCTCACTGGAGGGCTTTATGTTTGGGATAAACTTGACTGGCAATTATGTCAATATTCCATTGTATACTAATGTGAATTGAATACTGTTATTATGTTAAGTAAATATTTATTGTTAATGTAAATATTTTATTTACTAAACTGAACAAAAAACACAGCACAATCAACCACCTACATGCTTTAAAGCACGTAATGACAGGCTATGAAATTACTTTACTCTTGTGTATATATTATTGAACTGAGCTTTTACAAGCATAATAAAGTATTTATTTCATCTAAAACAACAAAAAACTATAATTAATAAGACAAGCGTCCTGAAAATCTGTCTTGATTTTGTTTTTTGCTTATACCAGCTTGAAGGTTGAATGGTACTTTGCTCACGTTAGTAAATAAGTAAGTTATAACACAGATATTGCACACCTTACTTATCAAAATTTCCCATCATATTGAGATACAAAAAGAGAAAAAAAATGCTTTTATTTTCATCCTGTATATAATTATGTATGTACCACATAAATAAAAAGGGAAGGGTTTGTAAACACACATAACTTAAATACTCAAGAAGAGATTTCATAAGTCTGTTATTGTATTGAGATATTGTTTCCGTTTGCCTCACTATGTAAATTATTCCAAAAAAAAATAGGGACTACAGGCACCCAGACCACTGGGTGCAATGTTTCGGTCCCCTCAACGCTACAATGTAAAACATTGCAGTTTCAGATGGTTAAGATGGTTAAGATTGCCTCTTGTGGTTGTCTACCAGGCAGCCACTAGAGGTGCTTCCTGGTGTTTCAGACACTAGACTTCCTTACGCTGTGCATGAGGATATCCAGTGTCTTCAAATTCCCGTAGGAAAGCATTTAATGATTCTCTGACGTTGGAGGAGGTGCTAATGTCAGAAGAGGCGGAGACAGAGCCAGCGCAGAGGGACTTTAGTGCTGGAAAAAGTTGAGTGGTTATAAGGGTTTTAACCCTTTAATTGCTAAGCGTGCTGCAATGGAGGTGGGGCATAAGGACACTATAGTGTTAGGAATAGAGCTTTATATTCCTAACACTATAGTGTTTATTTAAGGGTATTATTTTTTTATATTGTATGAGAAGACAATGTCATTTATTATAAATGTTTCTGAATGTTATTAAATTCTATGAAGTAGAATAATAGAAAGAAAGGAAATAGGAAGCAATGACAACTCCGCAACACATCCTGAACACCCACTACTGGTCCAGCGCACCCAGCGTAACGCTGGGTCACATTGCTCCTATTCCCACCAAATCTGCAATCTTGTTAGCCATAGAAGGAGCCCAATGGGACTCAACCACCTGTGTGTATAGTAAATCGATGTTAGCCCCCTACCACGAATTCCTGTCACTCTTTTTCTTTTATTTATTGTTTTGAATTTTTTATTTTTGTCGTGCAGGTGGTTACAAAGTTATCAACGGGCGCCACAACAGCGTATTTCAAGGTTCATATCAGTTAGACAGTGGCATGATAAGTCGCACATTTTTATATTTTCTAGGCATATCGATTAAACATCTAAAATGATAGAGTAAGCTTAACTGGAATACAATGAAATAAAATAACAGTAGTTGCTCGTCAATGCTAGGTTTGCTATACTAGCGTAGTTATAATGCATGAGCCTGTTTTGCAGTTTAGTAGTAGCTGATTAAAACATGGTGTACATGGTAGTTATGCTGTGAGTCTATAGGCTTGGAGGCATTAAATAGTGGTTAATGGTGCTAAGATTTGCCTTTGTTATAGAGTCACATCGTTAGTCTGGTTAGACAATTTGGTAAAGTTTAAACATGTTCTGACAATGCAAGAGTATATTAAAAGTTAATACTTTTTGGTACATGCTAAAGACTTAGAGGCTCAGATATGTGCGGTTATGTGTGTGCTTAGATATATCGATGGTAGAGCAGGTAAGGTATACCTAGATAGTACTAGGCAGGCAGGCATGTCATCCTTAAATTAGCAGGTGACAATCAATCTGAGTGCTTAGATGATGTGTGTTAAGGCCTTATATAGTTATTGGAAGGCTATTAGTAGAATGCTAAACAAAACGTAAATAGAGAGCATAGCTAAATAACAGAAATAAAGTAAATGATCAAGCAGTGGATATTACGTTAGAGTCCCTTGTGATTAGTGAGTCCCTGTTTAGGAGGCTACAGTATGGGCCTCTACATTTCCCGGCATGTAGGTACTCTTTCAATCGATACCTTTCGTAGGGATGGGTGACAGGGATGGCTGGAAGTCCTGCCCGGGGGTGGCCCGCTCGCTCAGTGAGGTGATGGTGGTTATACTGTCGCGATTAGGCAATTGCCCCATCAGTGCTCTCAGTCCGGTTGATCGCATGTTAATTTTGTGCCGGTCAGTCACCAACCCTGCCGCAGTGTGATTTTTATGGCTGTCAGCTCTGCTAGTCCCTCTGTGTCGGGTTGCGCTTTGCGGGACGGCTGTTGCTGGGACCACTTGTTGGTAGGCAGGTTGGGTACTCTTGCGGGTTCCGTGTTCGAGTTTGAGGTTGTGGGTATTGTCCTGTCGGGAGGCTATGCTGGAGCCACATGGGGGGTTCCACCACAGGCAGCGGCGGGTTGCCGGGCGGATCCACGCTGCCACTGCTTTCGCCGCCAGTCTAAAGGGTTGTCTCCTGGCTTTAAGCTTCTCCCACAGGTATGAACAGAGCCTGTTGAAGAACTCCGTTGTGTGCTTGGGTGGCTTGGGAGGCGAGTGCTTCTTCCTGTGCTGTATCTGCGCCGCCATCTTAGCTGGGCCCTGTCGTCCCCGTTTGGGCGCGTGTTTGTTGCTTGGGCTTAAAGGGAAGCTGTAGCCGATGCGCTGGTGCCGTGATAACCCCCAATGGCAGGTGGGGGGGAGAAACAGGAGCCCCGTCTGCCTCCTTGTGCTCCAGCAGTGCAGGTAGCAGGGAGACTGGCCGTATCTCCCCAGCCTCTCCTGCAAGCAGGCCCCAAAGAAGCTCCGGGTTTTGACCGCCGGTCTAGTGGTAAGATGCCGTAAGAAGTGTCTCCCGTGATTGTAGTGTGACTCCGGCCGGAGCTTGATTTCTTGGGTGGAAAGTCGTTATTTTTATTTGTTTGGTTTTTCTTTTCAGGAGCTCACTTCATGTGCGACTTGTCTGCATGGCGGTCAGGCCCTGCCCCCCCCTTTTATTTATTTTTTATATAATATAAAAAAATATTTTATAATAATTTATTTTATTTTAATTTGACACATATAAAAGACAATTTCCCTCTACAGTGAAAAACACAATTTTCTTCATATTGCACAACATATATAGATACTGTATTGGAGGATTCTCAATAATAAATATTACAACTCATTTCACTTTTAAACAGAAATGTTATCACAAAAATTTATCCCATGTAACTTAATAACGTCATTTGCCAAACAGGTTTAAACTTTACTTAACCGCTCTCTTTTAAATGCAAGTGCAATATGCATAATTCTGTGTAGACAACCCTGTTTCTTACTTGCACATAAAACACTTCGATATTGGATAACTTGACATCATATACCTTAATTACTATACTAGACATGACTCACATTACATTGACATAACTCACATTGCGTTGCAAAATCTCCTTAGGGGATTACAGTGGACCCTCTATTATATTACTTCTTAATATAATAAACCAAGAAAAATAATCTAAACACTCTGTCCAGGGGTTTGTGTATCTGAATTCTCCATTCTTTTTCTCCAAAAATTGCTGATATCTCTAATTTTATTTGTCTGATATCCTAAGGCCTCCATAGTTAATTGATATTGAACTTGTGAGTACAGTTGGGCCTGTGAAAAAATCTCACTGCTCTTCCAACTCCTAGCAATTATTATTTTTACTGCTGCCACAAAGTGGACATATATAAATCTTTGAACCATAGTGAGCTTAGTACAATCTGAATATAACGTCCAGACTCTACTAATCAAATGAGTGGAGCGCTAAAGGTATAAACTTACTCTAAAATAGGGTTAAATCTCAGATGTATATCAGTACATATAAAGGAAACAAAAAATAAAACACAATATAGTGTAAATCCACAGGTGATAATGTATTTTGGTGATAATTCAAGTAGTCAAACTCACATTGATCAGAGCCTCAAAGGGACAGGCTCAAATCACTTGCACAGTAGTGTCGTATGGAGACACTGCACCCTTTTGCCTGGAATGGATTTCCTCAAAGGAGAGAGAAAGGGAGACTTCCTAGTGTATTAAGTTTCAACAAAAATAAAAAACACAGTGGTTATGGTTGTGCTCACCTTTTCCTGAGCCAATGAGAACCTGGCTCTGGATGATAGACCTGGGTACCTCTAGAGGGGGGAACCTGCCCTTCTTTAGCAGCAAGATGAAGTTAGAAGCTGAAGGGACTTGGTTTAAAATACATACATTTATTGCAACTTTAAATATAAAAACAAAAACATAGAATTAAATAAAAATATCCAGTTGCTTCTATATAAGATAAAGAATGTCCCAGTAATTAGCTCCAGTCCCCAGATGCGTTTCACCCACACTATGGGGCTTTTTTAGTCGGTATCCTCATTGTCTTCATGCTGCTTTTTAAATATGCCGGTTACTTCATCCAGTGGGCGGTCCTCCCATCCCATCCTCCAATCCGGATTTAGCTTCTTGTGAGGAAAACAAAAAAAGGTGGCAGAACAGGTTGGTTCGCCGACACCCATCACCCTAAGTTAAATACATACATATTCCACCCTTTTAAATTGTGCTCAGCACATAATAGAGAAAATTAATAAAACAGAGAAAAGAGGAAGGAAAAAACACACATTGGTACATATTAGTACATATTAGTACTGTTCTTAACAGTATCTATAGTAAATACATATACTGCAGAATGGATTTCTTCCCTATTCATTGTATATTGAGTTCATTAATCATTGTCAATTAAAAGTTAAAGTGATATAATCAATAAAAATTAATTACATTTGTTTTTGTTACAGTTTCTGTAAAAAAAATTTTTTTTGTATTTTTGGTTTGCAAGGATTTGTACATACATGCCTACAGTTTCTGTAAATTTTATGAAAAATTTATATAAAATTAATATAAAGGCAATCTTCTTATATTACTTAAATTATTAACATTCTTAATAACGTCAATACTCAATGTGCAGAAAAGTGCATAAATTGCATGATCAACATTAATTTCCAGTTTTTGTACCAGGGATGAAATCACTCCCCTAAGTGTGTAGTTAATTTCCAATAATTCTAATTAAAAT